AACATTGCTCTGAGGACACCACAGCCTCACAGCACTGGTTCTGGTCGCGTGATCTTAAAGTGACGCCAAACTCACTGGCACCCGGCATCGGCTCCCCGCCACAACGCGATTGCCGGCACCACAATTCCCTTCATGGAGCGCATCAAGTTCCTTGGGGTCACTGGATTATTCCACCTTGTCTCCGGCCATTCACGTCCACTACATCATCATGACAACTTGCAACTATCAAGGCGAAGCTCCTCGTCACCTACGTCCACTCGTTATCGTGGACATTGGCAACATCCTCGCCTGCAGTGGAGTCGGGTCGACACTCGACTTCTCTAACGCCATTCCCTCCAAGTCATCATCAAGCAACATCCTCTGGTCGCAACGGCTACAGCAGCCTTGCTCGTCTCGTCCTGGTGTCCAGCCTCTACGACTCGGCCACCACTCTCTCGACTCTTCATTGGCTCCCTTTTGGCAGCAGCACTCATCATGAAGTCGCGCCGACCTTCGTTATCGCGCCTTCACGACCGCTTCCCCAGCACCACCCCTCGACTCACGACTCCCACCGTGCACTGAAGCAGCTCACAGTGGAACCCTGGAGCAGCAGCAGCAGCAGCGTCACGCAACATCTGCTTCGGACACCGACGTCTTGAACTTTTACAGCCTCACCTCACTATACAATACACTATACAATACACTACACTATACAATACACTTATATACACCTCACTATACACTACACTATACTATACAATACACTTATATACACTACACTATACACTACTACTATACACTACACTATACACTACACTGCAGGAGAGTGAGTACACGTGGCAGTGGGCACATTGTTGTTGACTGTGGGAGAGTGAGTACACGTGGCTGTGGGCACATTGTTGTTGACTGCGGGAGAGTGAGTACACGTGGCAGTGGGCACATTGTTGTTGACTGCGGGAGAGTGAGTACACGTGGCAGTGGGCACATTGGTGCTGACTGCGGGAGAGTGAGTACACGTGGCTGTGGGCACATTGGTGCTGACTGCGGGAGAGTGAGTACACGTGGCAGTGGGCACATTGTTGTTGACTGCGGGAGAGTAAGTACACGTGGCAGTGGGCACATTGGTGCTGACTGCGGGAGTGTGAGTACACGTGGCTGTGGGCACATTGGTGCTGACTGCAGGAGAGTGAGTACACGTGGCAGTGGGCACATTGTTGTTGACTGCGGGAGAGTGAGTACACGTGGCTGTGGGCACATTGTTGTTGACTGCGGGAGAGTGAGTACACGTGGCTGTGGGCACATTGGTGCTGACTGCAGGAGAGTGAGTACACGTGGGTGTGGGCACATTGTTGTTGACTGCGGGAGAGTGAGTACACGTGGCTGTGGGCACATTGGTGCTGACTGCGGGAGAGTGAGTACACGTGGCTGTGGGCACATTGGTGCTGACTGCGGGAGAGTGAGTACACGTGGCTGTGGGCACATTGGTGCTGACTGCAGGAGAGTGAGTACACGTGGGTGTGGGCACATTGGTGCTGACTGCAGGAGAGTGAGTACACGTGGGTGTGGGCACATTGTTGTTGACTGCAGGAGAGTGAGTACACGTGGCTGTGGGCACATTGGTGCTGACTGCGGGAGAGTGAGTACACGTGGCTGTGGGCACATTGGTGCTGACTGCGGGAGAGTGAGTACACGTGGGTGTGGGCACATTGTTGTTGACTGTGGGAGTGTGAGTACACGTGGGTGTCGGCACATTGTTGTTGACTGTGGGAGTGTGAGTACACGTGGGTGTGGGCACATTGTTGTTGACTGCGGGAGTGTGAGTACACGTGCCTGTGGGTCCATTTCTACTGACTGCGGGAGAGTGAGTACACGTGGGTGTGGGCACATTGTTGTTGACTGCGGGAGTGTGAGTACACGTGCCTGTGGGTCAATTTCTACTGACTGTGGGAGTGTGAGTACACGTGGGTGTGGGCACATTGTTGTTGACTGCGGGAGAGTGAGTACACGTGGGTGTGGGCACATTGTTGTTGACTGCGGGAGTGTGAGTACACGTGCCTGTGGGTCCATTTCTACTGACTGCGGGAGAGTGAGTACACGTGGCTGTGGGTCCATTACTACTGACTGCAGAGTGAGTACACGTGGGTGTGGGCACATTGTTGTTGACTGTGGGAGAGTGAGTACACGTGGGGGTGGGTCCATTGGTGCTGACTGCGAGAGAGTGAGTACACGTGGCTGTGGGCACATTGGTGCTGACTGCAGGAGAGTGAGTACACGTGGGGGTGGGTCCATTGGTGCTGACTGCGGGAGAGTGAGTACACGTGGCTGTGGGCACATTGTTGTTGACTGCAGGAGAGTGAGTACACGTGGGGGTGGGTCCATTGGTGCTTTACTGCGGGAGAGTGAGTACACGTGGCTGTGGGCACATTGGTGCTGACTGCGGGAGAGTGAGTACACGTGGCTGTGGGCACATTGTTGTTGACTGCAGGAGAATGAGTACACGTGGGGGTGGGTCCATTGGTGCTGACTGCGGGAGAGTGAGTACACGTGGCTGTGGGCACATTGTTGTTGACTGCAGGAGAGTGAGTACACGTGGGGGTGGGTCCATTGGTGCTGACTGCGGGAGAGTGAGTACACGTGGCAGTGGGCACATTGGTGTTGACTGCGGGAGAGTGAGTACACGTGGGTGTGGGTCCATTGCTACTCAACACGAGGTGAGATGCCCCCGATGCCCGCAGTCGTGAGTTGGAGGCGGCTGGCGCAAAGAACAGTTCAATACACAGCCTCGCGCCACGTGACGCTCACACTCGGGTGGCTTCTTGGGGTTATTTTTACAATAAAATTTGACTAAAAATGTCCCAGACACGGAACACCTTTGCGCTTCACCACACGCCCGTGCGAGTTTGGCATTCATTCATTCGCAGAGGCCCATCGCCACTTGGGGGCACATCAAAGGGGAATTTCCCTCCAGCTTCCTGCTTGCGGTGGCGTCCAGGGTATAATTATCACGAGAACGAGAGGCTGATGGCTGTGTGTCTGTGTGTTAAAAAGGTCGACTTGGCCTCAACTTGGTACTTGGTGCGGTGTGTAAACATCGCCACTGGGGAGACAAAGGCAGCCGGGCGTGGTGCTGGCCACCTACCCCCACGTGTGTCGTGCGTGCCTTAAAATGGCACTTACCCCAAGAGTATGGCAAGGCTATACGGGCAGCCTTGTCTTGTGTTCAGCAGGAAGTCGAGTGAGTGAGTGGGGGAACAGGTATGCGAACAATTCCCACGGGCATTCAGACTCTGTCTTCTCGACAGACCTGTTCTCCACCTGAGAATGGCTGCTTGCGTTGTGGCCGAAACGTCGGGAGAACTATTTTATTATGTTTTATGTTTATTATTTTATTATTTCCATTCTACGTGACTTTACCGAAAGAACCAAGAAGAAAAAATGCCCACGGGCTCTCTGTGGTACCCGTGCATTATTCAGGCAGTGTCACGTGGTGGTGGTGGTGGTTACCTGCTGTTGCTTCAAAACGTGCATGTGCGTCAAGAGTTATTGTTCTTCTCGCCCTTTGTAATGCCACTGCTGGATGAGGGCCTTCCCATTACTGTGTCGGCCATGGGGTGGTGGGTGACCCCGCCACGCTGGTCCGTGCGGGTTGGCAAAGGGAGGCGAGAGTCCGTCAGCGATCTGCCGCGACATCACCCCTCGCCCCACGGTCACCACGGCCCAGGATCAGCCCTCAAGCGGCTTCTCGCCTGCAGGGAGCAGTCGCTGGCCACTGCACCGCCGCCGCAGACCCTCTGCCGAGTCGTCGATCCGCTGCTGGATGAACACCGCACTTCACGTGGGCCCTAGTGGTTCTTTGATCGTACTTCACCATGCTGGTCCATGAAATACCCGACTAGAAGCGACATTCCTGCGCCACTGCTAACATCAGTGGCGAGCGATATCTGAATCAGCCCCGCTCCGTCCCCTCCCTTAACCAACCTGCGCCGACCAGCATGGTGAAGTATGGTCAAACAATCCCCATAACGCACCCTGCATATAGAGGCCTTCGTCCAGCAGTGGATTGCACAAGTGCTGTAAATTATCATCACTTCATCTCCTTATTTTTGTTACGATCTCAACGTATGAATCTGACAAAACGCTCCAGAATGCTTGCACAGTACACGTGGCACGAACACGCACGCCGCCTGTATCTGCCGCACGTACTGCCCCCGCTGCTGCATGGCTGAGAGCGACAGAAGACGAAGACGCCCCGTGTCGCCTCTCACGGGCCTGTCAGCAAGTAGCAAGCACCTGCGAACACCAACGTAGCACTCGAGGGGATGGGTGGGGTGGCCAACACCATCCCGACCACCTTTGTCTCTCCAAGTGCTGACGTTTACATACTTCACGAGGTACTAGTTTAAGGCTGAGTCGACCTAGGGGAGGCCCTGGACCGGTTCAGATATTCGTCACCGATGGCCCGAGAGCGTGACTCGAACTCGGGTCGCCGCGAGTCTTCGTGAAGGCGCAGACAAAGATCCCCCGTGTAGCCTCAGTAGGCTGTAGGGGCAAGTGCTGTTAGCGAGTAGAACCTATGAAGGCCGGCATGGCACACGAGGGTGGTGAGTGGCCAGCACCACGCCCGACCGCCTTTGTCTCTCCAGTGGCGATATTTACTGCACACCGCACCAGGTACTCATTTGAGGCTGAGGCGACCTAAGGGAGGCCCAGGACCGGCTCAGATAATCGTCACCGGTGTTGGCCGTGAGCGGGAATGGAACTTGGGTCGCCAGGTTCGCAGCGCGGCGTAGCGGTCCGCGTGTGCTCGCCCGGGGCCCCACCACTCGCGGACGGGACACGATCGCTCAGGAACGTGACCCCCCACCCACCCAGCACTGACATCGCAACACGGGCGCGTGCCTTCGTTCCTGCCACCGCGTCGGAATGCCTCTGCGTACCTGCGAGCACATTCCTGCCCGCCCCGTCACACGAGGAAGCAGCGCGCTCTATAAATGTCACCACCTCGGCGAGTGTGGGGACATTGACAATGCGCGTGGCGAGTTACAACGTCGCCGGCTGATATCGCTTGGACAACAAAAGCCACCATCACCTGCGCACCGCACACCGTCAGACGATGTCGTGCCCTGGCTGCTGTCACAGACTGCGCGGGTATCTGTGCTGCTTCCATAATGCTACACCCGGCAAAACCCACGTCGTCAGTACACCTGAGACTGATGGTCAAACCTATCTCGGAGACAAACGTCCACCGGGTAACGACTCTGAAGTCATCACACATCCACCTCCTCCCTTGCCTAAGCAAATCTCATCACCCGTTGATCGCAGGGGGTCTTACAGAAATACTTGTTTCTCACCTAGCAGTGAAGATAGCGATGACGATGATGAAGACGATGAAGACGATGATCAAGACAGTGTTGACGGCGAGAAGATTTTCGTTGCTGTTCACAACTACGACGCGAGGGCTCATGTCGACCTGAGCTTCAGGAAGGGGCAGCGCTTCCACATCGTCCAAGAGACCAACGCGGACTGGTGGCTGGCTCGGCCAGAGGGCGACACGGAGCAGCAGGGCTTCATCCCGGCCAACTACATCGCCCCCGCGCTCAGCCTCAAGGCCATGCCGTGAGTTGTGTGCCGTGAGTTGTGTGCCCACACGATCCGCTGTTGTGCCGCACGGAATCTCTGTCCACGATTGACGTCGCTTCGCGGTGGCGCATTGCATCCTCTTCGCAGTTCCAGGGGTTTGCGCAGTTTTATTATTATTCACCGCGAGTAGCCCGTCGTCTGCTTCACTGTGGACATTGGCGATGCCGAGATCCCGCGATGGGATCCCGAGATGGCGATCTGCAAAGGAGAGGCCAACGCGTAGCAGCGTCGCCACCCACAGTTGCCCCCTGAATGTCGCGGCCACTTAATGGAAACAATCAAATCGCTGCATCGACCTCCTCTTGCCAGGTGAATGCTCATTGGCCGGCCAGTGATGCCACGTCCCTTGTTCCGCACAGGGACAGCTGCCCCTGGGCATCTCCTTGCATAGACGACAGTCAGGACAATGGTTGAGATGTGATGGCAGGTGCTCTGAGATGTCGAGGCGTTGACGCGCCCTGTAGACCTGAACTCCTTCTCCTGGAGCCCACACGAGCGTAAACATGCGACCGTCTCCATGTCTGGTGGCAAGAAGCCGGCGGTTGAACGTTTTGCGTTCCCGTGATGGGAGCAGTTTCTCCGTAGCACAAGTTCGTTGCACTCCGCTCAAAATGTGCCTGCCAAGACGCTCACTCGCACTCCTTCGGGATCTTACCACATGCCTTTGGCTCGTGCCTCTGCACTGGCTCCCACTTAACACTGGCACTGAGTTTCACATCCTTCTACTCGTGCTCAAGGCTTTAAATGGGCTTCCTCCACCATATATCCAGGACTTGATTCAATCGCACACTCCACTAAGTTGATCCAACCACACACTCCACTAAGTTGATCCGGCCACACACTCCACTAAGTTGATCCAACCACACGCTCTACTAAGTTGATCAAATCACAAACTCCACTAAGTTGATCAAATCACACACTCCACTAAGTTGATCAAATCACACACTCCACTAAATTGATCCAATCACACACTCCACTAAGTTGATCCAATCACACACTCCACTAAGTTGATCCAATCACACACTCCACTAAGTTGATCCAATCACACACTCCACTAAGTTGATCCAATCACACACTCCACTAAGTTGATCCACCCAAACGCTCCACTAAGTTGATCCAACCACACACTCCACTAAGTTGATCCAACCACACACTCCACTAAGTTGATCCAACCACACGCTCCACTAAGTTGATACAATCACACACTCCACTAAGTTGATCCAATCACACACTCCACTAAGTTGATCCAATCACACACTCCACTAAGTTGATCCGGCCACACACTCCACTAAGTTGATCCAACCACACGCTCCACTAAGTTGATCTAACCACACACTCCACTAAGTTGATCCAACCACACACTCCACTAAGTTGATCCATCCACACACTCCACTAAGTTGATCCAACCACACACTCCACTAAGTTGATCCAACCACACACTCCACTAAGTTGATCCAACCACACACTCCACTAAGTTGATCCAACCACACACTCCACTAAGTTGATACAACCACACACTCCACTAAGTTGATCCAACCAGACACTCCACCAAGTTGATACAACCACACACTCCACTAAGTTGATCCAACCAGACACTCCACCAAGTTGATCCATCCACACACTCCACTAAGTTGATCCAACCACACACTCCACTATGTTGATCCAACCACACACTCCACTAAGTTGATCCAACCAGACACTCCACTAAGTTGATCCAACCACACACTCCACTAAGTTGATACAACCACACACTCCACTAAGTTGATCCAACCAGACACTCCACCAAGTTGATCCATCCACACACTCCACTAAGTTGATCCAACCACACACTCCACTATGTTGATCCAACCACACACTCCACTAAGTTGATCCAACCAGACACTCCACTAAGTTGATCCAACCACACACTCCACTAAGTTGATCCAACCACACGCTCCACTAAGTTGATCCAACCACAAGCTCCACTAAGTTGATCCAACCACACGTTCCACTAAGTTGATCCAACCAGACACTCCACTAAGTTGATCCAACCAGACACTCCACTAAGTTGATCCAACCACACACTCCACTAAGTTGATCCAACCAGACACTCCACCAAGTTGATCCATCCACACACTCCACTAAGTTGATCCAACCACACGTTCCACTAAGTTGATCCTCCACTGAGATCCACCGACGGCGCCCGACTCGGCGTGGCCACCGCGCTCCAGGCTCCGAGCCCTGGGGTCCCCACCGGGTTTTTGTTCTGCACGGCGCCCAGGCCCTGGAGGTCACTGCGCTTGGAGTTCAGGGAACTCGCAGTCGATGGATACTTCTGAGTCCCGGGTGAAGATCTACGCCACCACCACCACCAGTTGTTTAGCACGGCGACATCCTATCTCTCTCTGGTGCTTGGGATGTCAGTCTCCCATCCCAAGCACGGGCCAGACTTAGCCCTGCTCGCTCAGCTTCTGAAATCTCATGAGACCGGGCACATCTGGCCTCTATTCATTGCGCAAGTCTTTGCTACGGAATGTACGTTTCCTTACCTGCAAAAACCCCTTCCCTCCAACCTGACTCCCACAAGGCAGGGTAGTTGATTCAGGGTACAACACCTTTATTGTCGGTGTGTTTATTTGGTGTAGCGGCCTGGGTATTGTGCCCTCTATCAGGAAATGCTGGTCAAATCAACAGCGCGTTTTTGGAATTCATTGCTTTGAGGGTCAAGGCGGTTGGCGGCAGAGGTCATGACTTGGTTTGTTGGCCGCGAGGGTGAGAGGCGGTTAACTCGGAACCAATTGAAATTGTACAACAAAAAACACATTCTTATATTAACGACATTGCTTATATTGACCACGTTTTTTTCTTACTCAAAACGATCAGGGAAATAATAATGAACCCGATAACCGTTGATGTATTTGCTTTCATTTCTTTATTCTAAGAGTTGGTTTTACCAGATTGGCTTTGACAGCGATCCTTATTTGGGAAGGTGTCTCGGAACGTTGAGCCCTGACGGCACAACTTCCGTGCTGTCTGCTGCCCGTCTGGGAACCCCGTTGGGCAGAGACTGATCAAAAGCGGCTCTCCACGTGAATCACGAGTATCATCGGCAGGCAGGAGGACGTGGAAGCTGCGAACAGAGACAACAGTTCGTGTGGCTCCCTGTCTCTGGGTCGGTGGTCCTCCCACGGGGCTACGCATCGGTCACCGGGCACGACTGGGAGGGCCCCATCATCTCGTGGTCACAGCCGCGCCTTTTGGTGCCTCGAAATCACCTTTGGATTGTAATTTGTCATGGTGGTCGGGGGTGGGGAAGCTGACATTTATAATGTATTCACCTTGTGTTTTTGACTTTGTTGAATGCTTGCACAGGCTGCATGGAAAGTCCCTCCCACCCGCAGCTCACACCAACCAAGTGAACTCGTGGAGCTAAACAAAGCCGTGGGAAATTCCAACCTTTCGTGTTCAGACGACTCGCTACGATTGGGCGTATTCACAACGTCATTTCACAACAGCCACTCCCGTTCTAAAATCACGTTGTAAATAGGCCTTAATGAACGTAAACTAAAATTGCTCTTCAAGTCCACTCGAGCACTGTGACTGTAGCTAGTGAACAGGCTGTGCGTTCGGAAGGTATTCCTCCCTACTACTAGAAGTGTCCATAATAGAGGGGCTTGTTTTTGGGTTACATCGCGTAAATATATAAATGTGTCGTTAAAACCCGCCACCACCCGAAAGCCAACTAGTAAGGGTTGTCACGTAAACAGAACGTGCCAATTCGTTACTAGTACAGCACACCGGTGTGTTGGAGAGCCAAGCCACAACATTTACAATCTGAGTAAGATGCTAAAAGTATCTTAGCGTTTATATTATTTGGGTCTTTCGGTAGAGTCACGTAGAAAGGTTCAAATGAATATAAATTAAATAAACAAAAAACTACGACGTTTCGATCACCAGATGACGATCGTAATTAGGAGAATCATTGCACCGCTATCGCCCCTCGGCCTCTTTAACGCCGCGTCGCTCCCCCCCCCCCCCGTGCAGGTGGTTCTTTGGGCAGATGCAGAGAGAGGAGTCGGAGCAGCTGTTGATGAAGAAGCCCGAAGAGCAAGGGCGCTTCCTCATCCGCAATGCCCGCACGCTGCCCAACACCTACGTGCTCTCTGGTGAGCCGTTCAGGGGAGCCAGCCGGCTCGCCGCTCCAAGGCAAAGAGCCCCCCCCCGCTCCCCGCGCAGCCATCCGCAGCCCGGTGGGTGCCGCGCTGCCTTGGTCGGCGTGGGGGGCCGGGCGTCACTGCCTCGGTGTCGCACGAGCGGCGAGCGCCTTCCGATCGCGGCCGATCTGCCGTGCTGCTCGACGCCGTAGACGCCTGCCCGCCCCCTGCACGTGGCCTGGCACCCCTGGGGCCCCTGCGGGCCAGGAGTTGCCGTGGCTGCTGTGCACCCACGTGGGGGCTGTCACGTGGGGGCACGGCTGCCACGTACCACAGCTTGTGGAGGCCGCGTGGAATTTGGAAGATGTAGAGTCAGCGAGTTGTGATGATAAACATTTGTTACACTTCATCTCAAACTAACTTAGGGCATAATACATGTGTATTGGGTTAGGTTGCGTAAATATAGATGTGTCGTTAAACCTGCCACCACCCAACACAGCGAATGAGTAAGGTTTGACACACCCAGCTCTAAAACAAACCTTTATTATGGATCATATTGGTCGCGAAAGCTTTCGTGTTAAACTAACTTGGGGCAGCCGTCCCTGGGCTGTGAGATGGCATTTCTCCCGTCTCGCTGGCCTGCGTTAACCCCACTCTCTCTCTCCCGCTCCCCTCCGCAGTGCTCAAGCAGGACGAGGTGATTCACGTCAAAATCAACCGTTTTGACGATGGAGAATTCGGCTTCACCAAAGATGCAACCTTCCCCTCTGTTGAGAATCTGGTGGAGCATCACTCCGCGCATGACAACCAGCAGATTGGTCTACTGACCGAGCCTTGCGAGAAGGTGACCTGTGGCTGTGTCCGACCGGCTCGTGTGTAACTGTGTGCGCGCTGTTGTACTGTAGCTCTACGCTCCCGCAGATATGCTGCCCACCTTCACCCACCTGTGGCGATCGGACACGGTCAAATACCCCCCACCGATGTCATTACGCAGTGTACACACACATACACACACGTACACACACGTCCACACACGTGTACACACGTACACACATACACACATGTACAAACACGTCCACACACACGTACACACATACACACATGTACACACACACGTTCACACACGTACACACACACACGTACACACACGTCCACAAACGTACACACACGTACACACACACACGTACACACACACACGTACACACACGTACACACACGTTCACACACGTACACACACACGTACACACACACACGACGGCGTGTAGTGTGTGCGTTGAACCAAGCAAACCCGAGTTCAATTCCCGCCTACGGCTCACGCCAGCGGCAAGAGACTCCCTCTTCACCATGCGATGACTGAGCAGGATGGTCAAGTATGCTAAATGCAGCATGGGGGAGGCCTTTATCCAGCAGTGGATGTCATGATCACAAACACAAACGTGGATGAGGATGATCACTGCGACTGTTCCGTATTCATTGCTAATACTACTTCGTGGGATGTCAACAGTGGGAGGGGAGGGGAGGGGGGTGCACTGGGGAGCGCTAGGGAAGGGGGGCCGGAGGGTGCCACGCACAATGGGGGGGGGGGCACCCTGTGGTGGTGGGGGGGATGTTGGAGGTGGCACCGTTGTTGGATGACGGGCACGGCCACCAGTAAGTGCCCTTGGTGGCAAGCCAAGAATCCCTGGTGCGGGCTGCGCGGGCGGCGTGGGCTGCGTGCGCCCCAGCCCCCAGTGCGGGGTGGATTTGCGGTCGTCGCTTCTGCTCGTCGCTCCGTGCTCGGCGGTCGGGCTGGACGTGCGCTGCTGCGTGTGGACGGCAGCGCGTGACCCTCCTGCCTGCGTCACAGGAGTCGGCGCCGCCCATCTCGGACCTCAGCGTGGAGCTCATGAACACGTGGCACGTTCCTCGATCCTCCATCAAGATGGGGAATATGATCGGCAGGGGCAACTTCGGCGAGGTGTACGAGGGCCGATGGAACGACACCACGGACGTCGCGATCAAGATCGTGCGCACGAGTGAGTGGCTGTGCTGACCGGCGTGGTATGGCCGAAACGACCCCAACTACCAGCCAAAAGCGAGTGGGGAGGCCCTTGACACCACTGGTCGGCTTGGTCAAGTATAGCCAACATAGTACAGCCAACAGATAATGAAACATTTAAAAGCCATTATATACGTGCATTAGTCTCTCTTGAAAATAGCCAGCATGTGGTGTGGGTTCGGGGCATAGCAACCATCGGCAGTGCAGCTTTGTGCAGTAAAGGGCAGTGTATGTGTAGTAAGTATATGGAGGCTTGACGACAGGATCGGAGGCACACTTATTTATTACACCAACACAGTTATTTACAGGTCACTGGGCTACAGGGATTTCTCGACAGCTAACCCCTCTAACCTATACCAATTCCTCCACTACGGGACTAGGGGAGGCTATCTGTCCCAGCTTGGTTAAGCTGGGATCCCGGCTCCCTGAGTCACCAGACCAGCTTCGTCTGGGCTCTCGGGGCCACGCCACCGGCTTGCCCTGGTCGGCCCTTATAAGGACAGCGAGCCAGGGGAGCTCTGGGGCCTACACTAGCTGGTCTTCCGTCTTCTCTGGTTATAGCTGAGTCCCGACCCCGAGCCCTCGAGCTCATCACCTTTTATAGGACTCGCCCCCGAGGGGGGGCCCGTGGGGGATACACATGCGGACGTCGGTGCTAGCGCCACCCTTGTGTACGGCCGTAACCCCGCCCATTGTGTTTGTTGGCCATCCGTGGCCATGCATAATCACACCTCAACATTCGTAGCCATGCGCAATTACACCTCTACATCACCCCCCCCTGTACAGCTCGCAGCCGTCCCTGGCTGCAAAAAAAAAAATCAGAATAAAGGTGCATCCCTCACAAAAACCCCGTGTGTGTGCCTCGCGTAATTTTTAACAAGAACAAGAACAACGAGAGGAAGAGAGAGAGAGAGAGAAAAAAAATAACCCGACGCACCCCCCCCGGATAACACCCCAAAACCAACATATATATACACTCCGGACGCCACCCCTCCCATTGTCCGCAAGGCCCCCCAACGGCCGACCTCACAATAGTCTGCGCGTTTTGGCGCGCGTCCGCGCGGCGGGCCCATCACAAGGGCCCGTCCTGGCACGCTCAGTGACGGTTGTTGACGGTCCGGGTGCAAGAGAGTCAGGCGTCGCTGCCGAGTGACCCCCGACCCCTCCGGGAGGGGTTGGTGGGTGTGGACCCGTCACTCCTGTTTCACCTGGGGACGGAACAGTTGGCGTCAGGTTAGGCGAGTGCAGCGACGACGGGGAGTCGGCGACACCCTCACACGTTTGGCCATGCGTGTGTGTGTGTGAACCCCGGGGCGGCGTGACGAATGGTTTTAACCTTGAGGGGTGCACATACCACCGGCGCCTCCCCCATTTGACGCGAACACATTGCGGCCGCAAAACCTGCACGACCTCCACTGGCCCCCGCCACGGCCGTACCAATTTCGACGAGGTTGCCAGCGGCACCTGAGGACAGTGCAACCACGCCCTGTCCCCTGGTACCCATTTGACCACCTGCACCCGCCCCAACCGAAGCCTCTCGTTCGCCTTCTGGCGGAGTTCAGAATTTTGCACGGCCGCTTCCCGCGCCTCAGACAATTGAGCGATGTTAAATTTAACGTGTTCGGACAACTTAGACTTCGCCTGGAGCGCCGAGAGCTTCAGCTGGGTCGCCACAGGAGGGTTAACTTCGCGCCCATACATTAAAAAGAAAGGGGAAAATCCGGTGGCCGCATGGGGAGCCATTCTGTAGGCCTGCAACACACCGGCTATGCGGAGGTCCCAATCCGTCTGGGATACCGACACCTGCTGGGACAGCATGGACGTGATGGTCCGATGCAGCCGTTCCACCATCCCGTCAGTTTGTGGGTGATACGGAGAGGTCCGAACCTTCTCCGTACCCAAGAGGTCGCACACCTCACGTAGGAGTTTACCAGAAAAATTCCTACCCTGGTCAGTAAGCAGCCGTTCCGGAGCACCCTTGTCGAGGACATAGCCCTGGACAAAGGCCTCCGCGATGGCTGCTGCCGATTGGTTCGCCAGGGGCCAGGCCATAGGCCATCTCGTGAAGTATTCAACCCCCGTTAGTAAATACCTATTGCCCCTGGGTGTAGCGGGAAATGGGCCAAGTATGTCCAGAGCGACGAGCTCGTTAACCCTGGAAACTTTTATGGACTGCAGCGGAGGGTTGGATCCCCTAGCAGGTGGCTTCCTCTGCGCGCATTGCGTGCACGACCCCAAGAGGTCCCCCACGTCCTTTTCCATGCCCGGCCAGAAGAAATCTAGCTGGAGCGTGGCAAAGGTCTTATGAACCCCCAAGTGCAGAAGCCGCTCATGAACAGCCCATACCACCTTACCCCTTAAAGCAGCAGGCACCACGAGCCGCTGGCGCCGGGTTTTACCATTCCAGTGCATCAAAAGTCCCTGGAACAACCCCCACGAGTCAACGTTTTCCACCCCCTGGCCAATCCCCCCGGCGCGACGGCGCAGAGCGAGGAGGGAGGTGTCCTCCATTTGGAGGCGACCCCATTCCGCGACTGACAACCCCAGCAACGAATCCCTCCCTTCTTGCTCGATAGGACCCGAAACCGAAGGTGCATCGGCAGCGGCCACGAGGACCGAATCGGTGGTGACGTTCGGAGACCTACAACGCCCCGAACCCAAGAGGCACGCGCACTCCGAAGTGGGTGGCAATCGCGACAGGGCGTCAGCGTTCGTGTGGCGGAGACCCTTACGATATGTGGTGACAAAGTCATAGTCTTGGAGAATCTCCAACCATCGAGACAACTGGCCCGATGGTTGTTGAACCCGCAGGGCGTATTGTAGGGCCGCATGATCTGTACGGACGGTGAACCGCCGACCGTACAGATACGGGCGGTACTGCTGAATGAAATAAACAATCGCCAATAATTCCCGACGGGTAACGCAGTACCGCTGTTCGGCTGGAGACAGTACCCGACTACCGTAAGCCACCACATGCTCTACGCCCCCAATGAGCTGGGACAGCACGCCCCCGATGCCCGTGTTACTTGCATCTGTATCGAGCAAGAAGGGTTGTGAAAAATCCGGGTAATTCAACGGCGGCGCCCCCACCAAAGCATTCCGGAGGGCGCGAAAAGAAGCCTCCTCCTCCGGCCCCCAATGAAACCTGACTCCCTTGGACGTCAAGGCATGCAAAGGTTTCGCAATCGTAGCGAAGTCAGCCACAAATCGCCGATAATACGACGCGAACCCAATGAAACTCCTGACCTCTCCCACAGAGGTGGGAGTCGGCCAGGAGCTGACGCATTCCGTTTTGGCGGGATCAGTGGATATCCCCGAGCGCCCAACAATGTGACCCAAATATCGCACCGATTCGCGGAGTAAATGGCACTTCTGTGGTTTAAATTTCAAATTGGCAGCCCGCATTTTGAGAAAAACAGCACGCAACCTCTGGAGGTGTTCCTCGAAGGATTTGCTAAAGACGATGACATCGTCTAAGTAAATCAAACACGAATCCCATTGCAACCCTGCCAAGACCAATTCCATTAACCGCTGAAAAGTTGCCGGCGCAGAATGTAAACCCATCGGCAAGCGGTTAAATTGGAAGAGACCCTGCGGTGTCCGAAAAGCAGTCTTAGGTTTTGATTCGTCATCCAGAGGAAGCTGCCAGAATCCAGATAGCAAATCGAGGGTGGAAAAGAATCGCGCCCCCGCCAAGGCATCGAGCGACTCATCCATTCGAGGAAGCGGGTACGCATCTGCCACAGAGATTTTGTTCAGACGCCGAAAGTCGACACAAAACCGCAGTGATCCGTCGTGTTTTTTCACCAAAACGATCGGCGCGCCCCACGGGCTATTGGAAGGGGAAATGATATCGGCGGCTAGCATGTCATCAACAGCCGATTTGACATGATCCTTTTCGGCGGGACTCAACCGAAAGGGATTTTGGCGGATTGGCGCGCTGTCACCCGTGTCAATATGGTGTCGCAGCAATTTAGTACAACCAATATCAAATTTGTGTTGACTAAAAACGTCAGCAAATTCGCTCAGAAGAACTCGCAGCTGCGCGCGCTGCGAGTCGGACAGGTCCACTGAACCCGCGCAAAGCGCATCCAGCCAACCGTCATCACAGTCCGAATGCGGTCGCGACGGAGGATCGGTGGATACCTGACCCACGAGTGGTTCCTCATAGGGTACCGGCGTTGCGTGTGCAAGCACGGTCCCTTGAGGAACCACGGCCGTTCGCGATCCCACATTAAGGACTGCAATGAAGGGGTCCCCATCCCCCCTCACCATGGTCTGAGCCGCGAGCAAATCTGGTCCATTTACCCCGGCCCGAGATGGTCCCAACAAGACCCCCCGATCCGCAACCCCTTCATTAAACGGCCGACGCAATCTAAGAGGGACGAGCATCTGAGCCCCCGGAGGCACGCGCACAGTTTTTGTGACGAGCGCCTGCACGGTGGCAAACGCCCGACGCTCCGTGGTGGGGGAAGACAGAAATGTAACGCGTCGGCCCGATGGGAGCTCAATGCACCCTTGGTCAATAAGGATGCGGATGGGCATTTTGGCCAGAAAATCCGTCCCCAACAGGCACGGAACCGCGAGTGAGGAGGAAACCAAAACAGGCCCGGATAATTTAATGTCCCCAATGCAGATAGTGGCGCGGATTTGGCCAATAATGCCCAGAGAGCCCCCGTTAGCGGCATAGCACGGCACGTCAACAGGGAGCAAGGGACGACTTTGAACGGGAAGGATGTTATAAATTAAATCAGATATAATGGTCGCCGATGCCCCTGTGTCAATTAAAATCCGCACCTCTACCCCATCAATGTGACCGACCACGACCGAAGATCCCGCCGACGCAGCAACGACACGATGGGCGAGCTCCGACCACTGACCCGGTTGGAGCGCCCGCCGCATTACCGAACGATCGCGCGCGACGGATGGGGAATTTGGAGCCCTGTTTAGTTGGGCGCGTGAGTGTGTGTCGGATGTGTGCGTGGGCCAAACGTGTGAGGTGCCGCGACTCGCCGTATTTCTCTGCTGGAGCTTGGGAGGAGACGGCGTGGCGTCCTGACGAGGTGTCGCCCCGCGCTGACGGGGAGCCCGGCATCCTGACGCAACGTGGCCTTGCAGGCCACAGTTGTAGCAGCGTGTGAGCGCCCCCGATGTCCTGGGCTGCTCCTGGCGGCTCGGTCCATTCCGAGCCTGTGGTACTACTGCCGCTCTCCATTCCCCTCGCCGCTCCACCCCGCAGACCTCCTCCGATGGGAGGGCGGTAGCCGCCATGGCATGGCTGGCCGCCCCCTTTGCCGCCTTTCGACGAAGGGACCGCAAGCCCCCGTGGATGTGGCGCGCGACCAGCAGGGACGACATCTCTGAGTCGTCTTGAGCCAGGACGTTGACGTCCAGCTCATCAGCGAGTAGCAGCAGCTTCTCAGCCACCATGGCATCCACTCCTTCCTCGTCCATCCTTGGGAAAGCAGCCTTCGCTAGAGCCAGGAGAGCAGTCCGGAAGGCCAGAGGTGATTCGTTGGTGCCCCGACGCCGATCGTGGAAAAGCTGCCTGCAGTCCGAAGGCGGCCCATAGACGGCTGACAGCAGCTGCAACGCCAGGTGTAGGGTGGCGCGCTTTTCCCTCGGCGCCGAGGTGAGGGTAGCCAGGGCGTCGTTGTCCAGCATCGCTGGCAGCGCGCGTAGAGCCTCGGCGTCCGTCCAGTTCGCCATCTCCTGATGAGCGATGAACCGTCTCTTGAAGCCGCCCCAGTCTCCGTCTGCGCCTACGAATTCTTTCAGAGGTGGCAGACGCTGCTGCAAGGCGACGTCCGTGGCTGTAGATCGCTCTCCGTCGCTCCCCGCCGATGATACAGTGTGGGCGGGCTGTGCACATGGCATCGCCGGTCGCTCCGATGTTGACGCGCCGGCCGGTGTTGATGATGTCACGGCTTGTGCTTGGCGCTCAGCAGTCACGTGACGCGGGCCGGCCCCGCCGTCCGCTCGCACTGTAGAGATGGCGGGAAATTTAACCGCCAGCCGCGTCGGGGTGGCGGGAAACGTTGCCGCGCGCCGGCTGCTGTCGTCGACCCGCGCTGCCCCTCCAGCCCCCAGCCGCGTGATCTCCTCCAACGCAGCGGCGGCGGCGTAGAGCAGTTCCGCCAGGCGGGAGTGGGCCAGCCGGAGTCCTTCAGCCGACGCATCCCCCCCCTCTTGTCGTAGCGGCACGGGCGTACTTGGCCCCGGCTGCTCCGATCCGACCCCGGCCATCTCTGGTGTTGAATCGGCCGCGGCGTCTTCCATCTCCGACTCCTTGGTACGTGTCGTCCCTCGTGTGTCCATCGTTTGGACGTTTTACTTCTGACACCAGATGTAGTACGTATATGGAGGCTTGACGACAGGATCGGAGGCACACTTATTTATTACACCAACACAGTTATTTACAGGTCACTGGGCTACAGGGATTTCTCGACAGCTAACCCCTCTAACCTATACCAATTCCTCCACTACGGGACTAGGGGAGGCTATCTGTCCCAGCTTGGTTAAGCTGGGATCCCGGCTCCCTGAGTCACCAGACCAGCTTCGTCTGGGCTCTCGGGGCCACGCCACCGGCTTGCCCTGGTCGGCCCTTATAAGGACAGCGAGCCAGGGGAGCTCTGGGGCCTACACTAGCTGGTCTTCCGTCTTCTCTGGTTATAGCTGAGTCCCGACCCCGAGCCCTCGAGCTCATCACCTTTTATAGGACTCGCCCCCGAGGGGGGGCCCGTGGGGGATACACATGCGGACGTCGGTGCTAGCGCCACCCTTGTGTACGGCCGTAACCCCGCCCATTGTGTTTGTTGGCCATCCGTGGCCATGCATAATCACACCTCAACATTCGTAGCCATGCGCAATTACACCTCTACATATGTACTGTATGTTGAACTTCGTTCGCACCGTACGTAGCCAACTGTGTTAATCAGAGGTGCGGGGAAAGGACACACTTAACAGGAAAAGCAATTCTAAAGAAATGCATTTTAAATCGAGATTTGTAGGTGCTTTACTCCAATATCTTAATGTCGGAAGCAAGAGTGTTCCACGCGGCTGCAGAAGTGCATCTGGAATTGTGCGATGCAGTGGACGTTTTCGATGGCTAGCCAACAGCCGTTGTGAGGATGACCAGAGTTTGCGTGATGGTTTATGCTCCGAAATGTAATTGAGGGACTAAGTGTTGCAATGGTGTGTTCTGGGACTGTTGTTGTTTTGCTGCCTTGCCAAGCTTGCATTTGGTGTTGACAAATCGGCAGCAATATATCATTACTTGTGCAATTTGTACTTCTGAACTTTACGTCCAATTTTTAGCGATTTGCTTACCTTTTATTACCGTTGTTCTTACAGCGTTGTCTTTATTGTTTGTTGATGTAACTCGCTAACCCGCCCTTACTAGACATCTGTGAAAAAGAGCTTCATGGCTCATCAGATTCCTCCAGGATAAACAGAGATTCTGAAATGTTTTATTACAGATTCCAGCTTTGACACGTTTATGAAGGAGGTGAAAACCATGATCTCCTTCAAGCATGAGAACGTCCTCCAGATCTATGCCGTGTGTAAGGAGAAGTGGCCCTACTGGATCGTCACCGAGCTGGTGCCGTACGGAAACATGCTGCAATACCTGGGTACAGCGCTCCAGCCCCATGAGCCACCATCATCAGGCAGATTCCAGAACGCCTCTCTCACATCTCCATTTAAAATGTTCGATTACTGGCAAAGAAAGGGAGAAGGGGAAGTGGGATTTCGCCCTGACAGTCCCGGCTGGCTCTCTTGTGATTCCCAGCTCGCTTTGGACACGAACTGAGCGAGGTCGAGAAGCTGTACATGGCGTTCGGGATAGCAAGTGGCATGGCCTACCTGAGTAAGAAGAGGTGCATCCATTGCGACCTGGCGGCCCGAAACATCCTGATGGGACAAGACAAGATCTGCAAGGTGGCCGACTTTGGACTGTCCCACAAACTAAAGGTACTCCCCTCATTAACACGTGCATTCGCTGTGTTTCTAACAACGGCACGATATTCTTGGTTCTTTCGGTAAAGTCACGTAGAAGGGAAATAATAAAATAATATAAATATAAAACAATACAAATTCTCACGACGTTTCGACTGCAACACAAGCAATCATCATCAGGTGTGAAATCCACAGCAAGAAAATTTGAAAAAAGCGGCGGTTTTTTGTAACGTCAGCACCACGGACAGCGATTTGGCAGTTGGTCAGATGGACGAGTCCATCTATGTTCGGAAAAGAGGAGGGGGGAGCAGAAAATGGAATGCGGTCTGAAAGTCACCATAAGCGTGAACACAATCAATTAAGACCCGAAATGGTTTATCAAATCCTTCCAATGATTGCTAAGCCAGAATCCATCAATCCAGCATGGACACTTGGTCGTTCGGAAGCTCGGCTACACACGAAGCCCTAACCCAGACCCATGTCAAGAGGTCTCCTAAACGGGAGTATTGCTATGGTTATACTTGCCCAAAAGTGGCCCAGGCAGGGCAAAGTCAGAACTTTCGAGACATCGATTGTAAACAAACTTGGTAGGGAAATCCCCTGGATTTGACGATGTTTTATTACCTGAACCCCTACAACATCTCGGAAGTAACAGCCACTGGCTCTCCATCTTCAAGTCTCACGTCATACAGGAGAGCACGAAACGCAACATATTGCTAAGATCCAAAGTGATTGGTGTACCAGAGCCAGGCAAGAGACCATTCTCTGTCATAGAAATACTACTATTGAGCTGTAGCTACACGTTCCTAGGGCATTGGAGAATGGCCCATCTGTGCAGATGCCGTGATGTCGCGCGTGGGAGATGCTGTTGCACACACACACAGGTGGTTTGTTCTTCCTGTGCTGGACTCTCTGGACGTCTTCCGCAGCTGAACACTGAAGACTCGGAGGCCATTGAATGGTTCAACATAATGATGCTCCATTATTAGTATTTTGGACCTGATCTTGTTTGTCTTGGCCACGTGCATCTGCAATCAATATATCGGCAGTAAGTGATATGTGAACTGGTCCTGGGCCTTCACTTGACCAACTTTAACTGACCTGCGTGGTGAAGTATAGTCAAACAAACCCCTATGAGAAATGTGTCCATGATGAGGCCTCCGACCGGCAGCTGATTGATAAAGGGCTGAAATGATATTTTTTATCTAAATATATTTCCATCCGACACAGCCCACAAAGCAGCAGGAAGTGTCCACGTGACAACGTAATTAATGTGCCCTGTTACAACCGTGATTGGTGTTGCACGAGTTGGTTTGGCTAAAGCTGCCGTTGATGTCCGCCGTGTTCCGCTCGTCTCTCCGCAGGAGGAGTACTATGATGCCACAGGCCATGTCGTCCCCTACCAGTGGATGGCTCCCGAGGTCTTGATTCAGTTGAAGTTCACGCGCAAGTCGGACGTGTGGTCGTTCGGAGTGCTTCTCTACGAACTGTTCACCGATGGCAAGCATCCGTATGGAGGTGACCAGGGGGCCCAGCATGCTTGTGCTCTCGAGAACAAACTTTCCCCACAATGCATCGTGCCAGCAACATTTCATAACTTTTACTTCTTATACAAATCAGTTTATTCAGTAACACTTTGTAATTATTGATGAATTTGTAGAGCGGATACCGTGCGGCGTTGACGTGATTACTATACTATTATTGTTGCTATTATTGTTCTATCATACCAACAGTTGTTGTGTGGCGTGTGTGCAGAGATGGATAAGCAGCAAGTACAGGATCTGATCAACTGTGGCAGAAGGCTGGAGAAGCCCGAAGGATGCCCCGATGTGGTGTACCACATCATGCTGCGCTGCTGGAACCGCGAGCATCGGGAGCGACCGTCGTTCTCCAAGCTCAGGGGGGAGTTGCTCACCATGTGTCTGGAGGACGAGAGTCTAGAGGGGCTGTAGGGACGCCGCACGGCCGACTTGTAGTTTGGGCGCCGTGCCGCATTAAAAGACAATACTTATTCACGGTTGAGACAAATACAAATCCGAACTGCCAATGTGGGTCATTCAGATCTTGGATCGGTTTCATATTCTCTGCACGAGTGTGAAAAGGGAATTTTGAAGTGAGGATTTCCAAACGTTTTGGAAATTTTTACGTTTCGTGGTTGTGAGGTCATAGGTCAAAATCGCCTTCACAGAAAACCTGGGGGATGGCAACGTCCAAATCAAATCACAGACGGAGGTCACGTGACCTATAGGCCGAGATTTCTCCGTCAACCAATTATCCTCGTTGTTGGTCTGTGCAGTTGGCTGTTGGTAGTCAATGCAGCAGCTGCTGCTGCTGCCCATTGGCAATAGAGGTGACCGCATAACTGACTCTCGTTTTGCAGGTGAAAAAGATTGGCTAATTTATGCAGGACTTTACTTATTTAAGGATTGGTTGAAGTATACAAATTTGTGGCATAACTACGTCATATTTTCTGGATAACACACTTTCTATAGTTTAATCTCACTCAGGGGAAGTGCGTGGTTTGTTATTTGGCACCTTAATAAGGATATTGTATTACAATTATGATTATTTTTCGTGGTGATGAATTGTTTTAATCACTAATACTAACATTTACATAACTTCCTTGGACTACGAAGCTAGTCCAAGGAAGTTCTATAACTGTATATACGGTGTACAATTCTTGTGTTGCCTGTATGTGTGTGTGTGCACCACTTTGAACAACCCAAGTCCAAGTCGACATTGTTCAAGCTACTGGACAAGTATCGATTGCAAGCGCAGCTGCGTGTGGATGTGCAGATGGGTGAGGGCGTCACAAGGGCCATGCTTGCGGGGACTACAGCGTGGATTGAGCTTGAGTCCACAACGACAGAGATCCCCGGTGTAGGCTTCAAATCAAATCAAACTTTACTGATACAGCGCAATTCGTGCAAAGAATGCAACACAAAGTTATTTACAGGACTGAATGAATATGGAGCGACTGACACAATGTAAACAACAATAAGAATGATATGTAAAAATGTACATGCATAATCAACTAGTGTAACCAAATGCAAAAAAAACGTAATAAAAGCATCCTAAATTTTGATTTAAAGCTTTCGTGACTGCAGGGATTCATATTCTTGGTTCTTTCGGTAAAGTCACGTAGAAGGGAAACAATAAAATAATAAAAATATAAAACAATACAATTCTCACGACGTTTCGACTGCAACACAAACAATCATCAGGTGTGAAAAACACAGCAAGACAAATGATGATTGCTTGTATTGCAGTCGAAACATCGTGAGAATTGTATTGTTTTACATTTTTATTACTTTATTGTTTCCCTTCTACGTGACTTTACCGAAAGAACCAAGAATATAAAAAGCATCCTAATTAAAATAGAATCTAAGAAGGTATTTTAAAGATTTAGTTACCAAACAACCACTGATTCGGATCTCCTCCGGCGAGGCTGTTCCCAAGGCGAGGCCCATCGAAGCGTCCGGCTGCCTCACCATCGGCCTTGGTTCTCGCCTTTGGCATCACCAAGAGAACAGCCCAAGAGCATCGACTCGGTTCATACCTCAAAAACTCGTCAGACGTATTCAGGTGCCAGTCCATTTAGTGACCTTAAAGCAAGAAAATTATCTTGAAATGAATTCTAAAGCTGCGAGGCAGCCAGTGTAGAGACTCGAACAAAGGTGTAATGTGCGCGGTTCTCCTTCAGGTCTTGGGCAGCACTCGTGCTGCACCATTCTGAATGAGTCGCCGTTGACCTGCTGCTTCATTAGGAAGACCAGACAGGAGATAATGCAGTAGTCAAGTCTGCGGGTGATGCAAGCATGCATTAGTCGCTCAGCAATGACACGAGCATTTCTAATGTGGGCTTCAAAGTTCAAATCCGGGGCTAAAAGCACACCTACGTTTTTAACCTCGTGTTTGGCGTTTTGTGCCAGCGAGATTAAACTTGTGAGCACTTTCTCTCTCTGGATTTTGCTTCAATAATCAGCACCTCAGTTTTGTCTTTGTTCAGCTGCAGAAAATTCCGTGACATCCACATGCTGATCTCTTCAATATACTGAATCAGGTTATCGATGGGGCTGACATCATTAGGTTATACTGAAATGTACAGTTGTGTATCATCAGCATAGCTGTGAAAATGAATTCCATTGCCCAGTGGCAGCATATAGAGACTAAATAAAACAGGGCCCAGAATGGAACCTTGCGGAATGCCACAAGCGATGTCTATCTTTGAGGAGGGAAGATCACCAAGGGAAACTAAATTATCTCTACCGGTTCGATAAGTCCTAAACCAATTAACTACTGTACCAGAGAGGCCAATCCACTTCTGCAGTCTATCAATGAGAATGGTGTTGATCAACTGCATCAAACAATTCACTCAGGTCTCAGAGTACAAGGACAGAAAGCGTTTCATCATCAGTGTTCATTCTTAGATCATTCATGACGTTAACAAGAGCCGTCTCAGTGCGATGAAGGGCATGAAAACAGACTGGAATTTTTTAAATATACAGTTGGCATTTAGCTGTTTAAAAAAACTGTTTCTCAATAATTTGACTTACAAAAGCAAGAGGAGAAATGTGCCCGACATTTTTAATCATCGAAGGATCTGGGTGACTCTTCTTGTGAACGGGTTTCACCGAGACAGTCTCACTTGCCGTGGGATGCCTGTCAGCATGGGACGATTCACGTTAGCTAGCACTTCCTCTGCCACACAATTAAAGACAGTAAAACAAAGGTGGGGATAGGATCAAGTGAGCAGGTTAAAGGCTAAATGTGCATTACTTCTTTCCTGAGCATCTCTGAGTTAACTGCACAAAGGAGCTCAGAGTGGTTTCATGTCGAGGGAGGGCGCACTGGAGCAAGAATTCACGCACGTGTCATACGACTTGGTTTATACCCACTCTGGCTGTTGTTATCTTGTCTCTGAAGTATGCTGAATATTCTTCACATTTAGACATGGAGATGAGGTGAGAGTGGCTTTTAGAGGCTTGATTAATTAGACTCAATAGTTGAGAAAAGCATTCTAGGGTTGTTTTGATTATCAACCAATTTTGAAAAATTAGCACATCGGGCATTTCTAATTGAATTATTAAATGTAGTGAGATGCTCCCTTAGAATGTGATAATATGCGTGTAAATTAGTCCTCTTCAGTTCTTTCGGTAAAGTCCCGTAGGTAGAAAAAAAATAGTAAATCAGTCACGAAAACTTCAAATCAAGTGTGACTTCGTCTTTCTCCATTTCCGTTCAGCCTTCCTGCAGTTTCTCTCAAGGTCAAGCAGATCCTACTTTCTCCATGGAGGTTTGTTTTTGGCTGTAATATTTTTTAGTTTAGCTGGTGCTATACCATAAATGGTAGCCTTTAATTTGGCATTTAGGTTATTAACTAAATGACGACAGGACAATAACCATCATCTCAATAACCATCATCTCAACCATCATCTCAACAACCATCATCTCAACAACCATCATCTCAACAACCATCATCTCAACAACCATCATCTCAACAACCATCATCTCAACAACCATCATCTCAACTCGAAACACTGCTCCGCCACCGCACGGCACCCGCTCATCGCTCGCAGAGGGATGGGGGGGGGGGCAGCCACGTGGTTCTTGATATATCAAGGTAGGTGTTATAGGCCAATTAACGAGTTTACACCCCCTGTACGTAGCACGGGTGTCTACGTACGTTGCGAAAGAAGTTCAACATACAGGAAACTGGAGAAAATCCCCGCGTGCGTGGGGGAAACACTCGATGGTGTACAGACGTAGCAGGCGGAGTTAACGTGTTTGCCGTAATCTACCGCCGTCTCCTGGCGAGCCGCGGTACGGCACTCCCCCGACCCCCACGGCTCGAAGGGAGTGTCCACAACGTCTGTTCGTGATCCACGAACCCTCGCTACCGCTGCCTCCAGAGCGCTGGATCGCGGGCGAGCGCCTGGATATACCGCCCAGAGGGTGGACGTCGCAGTTTGACTGTGACAGACGAGATGGAGTTGAGAGTTTTGAAACTCCGTGGAGGAGCGTGGCTCACAGACGCTGATGCTGCCACCGCAGGGTCTGCCGGGTCGGTGCAGCCGTGAGCAGCACTGCCCCACTCGCTCGGTCACTTGAACGGAAGGTTCATTGCTTGGGACAGTCAAATCGATATTTTAATGTAGCCAAATTGAAACTGAATATGATGGCGTGTTCATTTGTGCAGTTCTTGTTGACCGGGCTGAGACCATCAACTCACGACACGAGAGAACCCGGCTACAGGAGGCCGTCGGCTCGATTCCGACTCTGGCGCCTGCTGTATACTTGGAGTTTGCGTGTTCGATCTCTTTCGCCGTGGCTGCGTGGATCGGGTCCTCCGGTTTTCCCTGCACACTCGAGAATCATCGTCACGCGTTTAGAGTATTTGGCTGCTCTACGTTTCCACGTGATGAGCCACTTCGTTGAGCTACCATTTGTGGCCAGGTCGCTTCTGAAAAAAGAACTATATAGTTCAGTAGGCCTTACCTGTGGGGAGGGTGGGGCTGGGTGGGGAGGGGCTGGGTGGGGAGGGGCTGGTCACCCTGTGGTGCCCTTATAAAACTCAACGTTTAACCTACTCACGCCGGCTTGTGCTCGCCCTCACAGTCGGGCATATTTGCGGAATACACCACGCCGCCGTTGACCCTGGCCATTGACCGAGCAACCCAACGTTCCTACCAGCTCCCTCCGCAGCAGGACAATGTGTTACACAGTATTCGGTGATGCTGCTGTACTGGCAGTGATGCACAAATAACGAAACAACTCGAATCGTGTCAACAACAACGACGACGTGTGCGGGACTCTCACATGAAGCACCCCGTTCTAGAATCAGCGACGCTTCAGGCAAGGGCATTTCTTCATCGCAGGCGGCCCGAGAGCCCCGGCACGTGGTGGTGGCCACACCGCTGCACGTGGCTGCTGTAGTCCACCTCTCTGCAGGTACCAAGCGGGGGATGGTGGATCACGCACAGATGCCGTGGCCACCCTTCCCGTGGGCGTCGAGGAGGCGTCGTGCTCTGCCATGATCACGTGCACGTCACCTGTTCCGTCTGTAGGGGATACAGCGTTTCCCCCTCGCTCGTGTTGGTTTTCAATGGGTGCTCCGGTTTGCTCCCAAACGTTCGCGCTCGTTGTTTGGCCGATACCACCTTGATGTCGAGAGGATCGTAGAGCTCGGGCAATTGTTTGAGGAGCCGACTCCTCAAGCGCGTGGCTGCTGCTGCTGATGCTGCATCCCCACTCCTCGTCTGTGGATGCTCCTCACTCGGAGTCGTCCTCTCGAGAGCGAGGAGCGGGTACCGTGTGGCGGTCACGCAGCTCACGTTATTATAGGTCAAGATGCATGGCAATATATGAACATTTGTTTAAAGTTTACTTAGATTAATAATAATCTTGATTTGAAGCTTTCGTGTCTGCAGGAATCCATACTCTTTGGTTCTTTCGGTAAAGTCACGTGGGTAGAACAAGAATAATAGATCACGACGTTTCGATCGCCACACAGCGGTCGTCCTTAATAATATAAAGTCAACTTCTAACACGATGCCTCCATCGGGCAAGTAACGATTGTTTACAAGTAACGAGTGTTTACAGGTAACGAGTGTTTACAAGTAACGAGTGTTTACAAGTAACGAGTGTTTACAAGTAACGAGTGTTTACAGGGAACGAGTGTTTACTCGTGGTAGGAAACCGGAGCACCCAGAGAAACCCCACACGTGTGAGCGAGGGGGAAACACGCTATCCCATACAGACGGAACATTTGGAGGTGAGTCGACGTTTTCGCTGTTCTCTGGCGAGCCAGGGCTGCTGCTCCATGACACTCACTCACGCCAAGGGGGGCGGGGGGGGGTCGCGATATCCGTGCGGTGATCCATCAACCCCTCGTCGCTGCCTCCACAGCGCTGGCTCCACGTCGCTGCCTCTACAGCGACGTGCAGCAGCGCGGTCACCGCCGTGCTCAACGTCGGCCTTGTCCGTGACCTTGCCGTGACCTTGTCCATGACCTTGCCGCGACCTTGTCCGCGACCTCGCCATGACCTTGCCGTGACCTTGCCGTGACCTTGCCGTGCCTGCCCATCCCCCCACGCCCCCCCCCCACCGCTCGCCCCGTGCGTCAAGCGAGGTCAGGCAGCTCGCGCGTGGCAGAGCTGCGACAAGTCCGTGGCTGCGGCTCGCAAGACCCCGCGCCGCCCCCACTCTGTCGCGTGCGACGTCACACGCCCCGAGTCGGGGTCAGTGAGACGAGGCACGGGACGAGGAATGTTTCCTTGACGCACGCAGCAGCAACCCGCTGGCTCGGCCGGTCCAACTCGTTTCCTCTCTGCAGATTTTGGCCCCAAAGCAAACAACGCTCTGCCCGCGTCGCTGGCGTCCGCCTTGCAACGTGGCCGCCGGCGACGGGAGAGGTTTGCGGTGAATGTGTTCACCTGGAGCCAGCGGGCGGAGCGAGGCGGCGAGGAGGCCGACTGCGACTCCCTGTTGGTTTTGATGGGGAGCGGTGGCGCTGAGGTTAGCGCACTGCGCTACGAACACGGCGAACGAACACCGTTCTCGGCCCACTCACGGCCAACGTCAGTGACGAAGATCTGAACCGTTGCCGCGCCTCCCCTAGGACGACTCAGCCTTAAATGATTACCTGGTGCGGTGTTTTAAGCGTCAGCACTGCAGAGATACAAAGGTGGTCGGGGAGTGATCCTAATCAGAACTCCCCCTAGTGTGCCGTGCCGACTTTTGGAGGTACTCGTTGACAGCCCTTGCCCCGGACGATCTGCTGAGGCTGTATCAGCCCGGCCGCCTTTGTCTCCCCAGTGCTGATGTTTACACACCGCACAAGGAAACCCATTAAGGCTGAGTCGACCTAAGGGAGGACCAGTTCAGATATGTGCCACTGTCATAATTATTGGTCGTGAGCTTGAATCGAAATGCGGCTCACTGGGTTCGTAGCGCACAGCAGCGCTCACCACTGCACTACCACAACATCGCACCCCCACCAAGCAGCTTGGTGAAGTATGGTCAAACAGTTGTGATTCGCCCCCCCCCCTCTCTCTCTGCGCGAGGTGCGGGCATCATGCGGCCGTGGCAGCGGCGCAGTGTCACGAGCTGACGAGTCGAGATGATGAATTGTGAATATCCCCAATTAAAGGCTAATTGCACCCCCCACCCCCACCCCCATTCAATTGTGCCCCCACCCCCACGCGCGTTAACCGTCGAGTGCCACCCTCGTCGTACGGCTCACGACACTGGTCGTGGTGGTCGTGGTCGTCGTGGTCGTCGTGGTGGTGGTGGTGGTTGTGGTGGTCGTGGTGGTCGTGGTGGTCGTGGTGGTGGTCGTGGTGGTGGTCGTGGTGGTGGTCGTGGTGGTGGTCGTGGTGGTGGTCGTGGTGGTGGTCGTGGTGGTGGTGGTCGTGGTGGTGGTGGTCGTGGTGGTCGTAGTGGTCGTGGTGGTGGTCGTGGTGGTGAAGCCGCCGCTCGTTCTTCTCACTCGGGCGGATTTTCCAGTCCGCCTGGTCACGCGCCGAACCCGTCGGGCAGCAACTCGGACCGCGCGCGTGGGAAGGGGCCGCCACGTGTCGCGAGCCGAGCCCTTGCGCAACCAACACAGGAACGCGTCTCCTCCTCCCCCTCCAGCCCTGCGCGCCCCGCACGCAGAGGACGACACCTCGAGACCCCCCCAACCCCCCTCCTCCTCCTCCTGCTCCGTGCGCAGTTCTCCGGCGATCGCTCGGCTCACGAGCCGCACCCGAAGGCCTCCCCAGCCGCGCGGCCACCGCTCGTACGCGAGAATTGTTTTGGGGCCGTCTTCCATCACCACGCTGCTCACTCAGTGCGGCGTGTGGGTGGTGGTGGTGGTGGTGGAGGGACGTGCTGGCAGGGCTGGTTCTCAGCATCTCCAGTCGCCACTGATGATGCAAAGACGACGATGACCGTGGCTCAGTGGCTGGGAAGCTGATCTTGGGTTTGTGTGTTGACCGGGTTCGTTCCTAGCGCGGCTGCGTTGATAACCGCTACTCCACGTACAGCCGAATTGCTTGACTCAACTACTTGAGTGTGGATGCTATTTTATATATTTGTGGTAGAATAAATTATCTAATTAAAGCAACCACGCTGAAGGCGGCTGCCGAGTAGGCGAGCGGTGAAGATTACCACAAGTCGCAGTAATCTGATATTAACCCAAAGTAGGTCTAACCGTTGACAGAGTCATTATAACTTAATTATAACTTTTTTACTCTGTGTATGGGTGAGTCAATCGTATGTGTGTGTCATATGAATATTTAAAGTCCGAACGTAATTGAGGGGCGACGGACGACACGAAACCGACGGAGCCCCACTGCGGAGCGCGGCGTTGGGTGGAGCCAGAGCCCATAGCAGAGTCTGAGTCGTCCACCACCACCACCATCGTCCACCACCACCATCGTCCACCACCACCACCATCGTCATGACCACGAGCTGGCTCCAGTGCAGTCATCATTCTCATCACACGAGGCCGCTAAGTCCGCTCCGACACCCGACGCTTGGTGAGTTTGACTTGAATCACAGCGGCCGACTCGATAACAATCGCGTCACTGTCCATTACATCCGCAACTTTAAACGGGATGACATGACGTGGGTTTCTTTTACACTTGCAACTTTACTCATATTAATAGCAATGCATGATTACACAGCCATTGACAGCTCTGCCAGTCAATGAAGCTATCTAACCACCAGAGGATGCATGTGCACGGTGGACACCCACCGTGCCCATGTCTCGCGTTCACGCGACGCCGTTCACTTTTTAAATCCGACTCGGGGAGAATAAACAACCCCGCGCGTTTCCTCCCTCGCTGTTTCTGTCGAGCAGCTGCGGCGCGACTCAGTGAGTCAGGAGCTGTGTAGAGACTCAGTGAGCCATCAACTGCGGAGAGACTCAGTGAGCCAGGAGCTGCGGCGCGACTCAGTGAGCCAGGAGCTGTGTAGAGACTCAGTGAGTCAGGAGCTGTGTAGAGACTCAGTGAGCCATCAACTGCGGAGAGACTCAGTGAGCCAGGAGCTGTGCAGAGACTCAGTGAGCCATCAATTGCGGAGAGACTCAGTGAGTCAGGAGCTGTGTAGAGACTCAGTGAGCCAGGAGCTGTGTAGAGACTCAGTGAGCCATCAACTGCGGAGAGACTCAGTGAGCCAGGAGCTGTGTAGAGACTCAGTGAGCCAGGAGCTGTGTAGAGACTCAGTGAGCCAGGAGCTGTGTAGAGACTCAGTGAGTCAGGAGCTGTGTAGAGACTCAGTGAGTCAGGAGCTGTGTAGAGACTCAGTGAGTCAGGAGCTGTGTAGAGACTCAGTGAGCCAGGAGCTGTGTAGAGACTCAGTGAGCCATCAACTGCGGAGAGACTCAGTGAGCCAGGAGCTGTGTAGAGACTCAGTGAGCCAGGAGCTGTGTAGAGACTCAGTGAGCCAGGAGCTGTGTAGAGACTCAGTGAGTCAGGAGCTGTGTAGAGACTCAGTGAGCCAGGAGCTGTGTAGAGACTCAGTGAGCCAGGAGCTGTGTAGAGACTCTGTGAGCCAGGAGCTGTGTAGAGACTCAGTGAGCCAGGAGCTGTGTAGAGACTCAGTGAGTCAGGAGCTGTGTAGACACTCAGTGAGCCAGGAGCTGTGTAGAGACTCAGTGAGCCAGGAGCTGTGTAAAGACTCAGTGAGTCAGGAGCTGTGTAGAGACTCAGTGAGCCAGGAGCTGTGTAGAGACTCAGTGAGCCATCAACTGCGGAGAGACTCAGTGAGCCAGGAGCTGTGTAGAGACTCAGTGAGCCAGGAGCTGTGTAGAGACTCAGTGAGTCAGGAGCTGTGTAGAGACTCAGTGAGCCAGGAGCTGTGTAGAGACTCAGTGAGTCAGGAGCTGTGTAGAGACTCAGTGAGCCAGGAGCTGTGTAGAGACTCAGTGAGTCAGGAGCTGTGTAGAGACTCAGTGAGCCAGCAGCTGTGTAGAGACTCAGTGAGCCAGGAGCTGTGTAGAGACTCAGTGAGTCAGGAGCTGTGTAGAGACTCAGTGAGTCATCAGCTGTGTAGAGACTCAGTGAGTCATCAGCAGTGTAGAGACTCAGTGAGTCAGGAGCTGTGTAGAGACTCAGTGAGCCAGGAGCTGTGTAGAGACTCAGTGAGCCAGGAGCTGTGTAGAGACTCAGTGAGCCAGGAGCTGTGTAGAGACTCAGTGAGCCAGGAGCTGTGTAGAGACTCAGTGAGTCATCAGCTGTGTAGAGACTCAGTGAGTCATCAGCTGTGTAGAGACTCAGTGAGTCATCAGCAGTGTAGAGACTCAGTGAGCCAGGAGCTGTGTAGAGACTCAGTGAGCCAGGAGCTGTGTAGAGACTCAGTGAGCCAGGAGCTGTGTAGAGACTCAGTGAGCCAGGAGCTGTGTAGAGACTCAGTGAGCCAGGAGCAGGGCTCACCCTCGCACCCAATTCCAACGGCAGCGTTCCACCCTCCAGGTTACCCCACCCACGTGAGCACGAGGAGGAAGCTGAACGTTTCGTTACTCATTCCTGATTTAACAGCTGCGGGGTTCATGAATCAGTAACCCAGCGGCAGCAGCAGCGGCAGCAGGAGGTGATTGCTGCAGTGGGGCCGTCGACGTGACTCCAGAGTGGCAGCCTGACCCCAACTTCAACTGCGGGCGGTGATGGCAGAAGCCAGCGGTTGCTGGGCCTCGTTCAGGGAACGATGCTGCTACTGCCGCCGAGCGCACGACACTCGCGAAGTGGATTCAGGGGGCGACCAGGTTGACCTTAGACATCCCGAGCCGCAGCCGCTTCCGAGTGACGACAAGGTGGATGAGGAGGTGGCGTTCGTTGCTCTGCACGACTACAAGGCGAGGGCCCAGGTGGACATGAGCTTCAAGAAGGGCCAGAGATTCCGCATCATCGAGAGGACAAACGCCGACTGGTGGCTGGCTCGCCCAGAGGATGTGGACGAGGAGGCTACAAGAGGCTACATCCCGGCCAACTACATCGCCCCCGCGCTCAGCCTGGAGGCCATGCCGTGAGTTGACACGAGACGGTTCTTTGATTCGTAATTGATCGCGCAAGTTGCCCGATTGCTGGCAACTGAGCGGTGGTGGCGAGGGGGCTGCCGATGCTTGTTGGCAACCAGCACGAGGCAAATGTTCAGTGTCGGGGATCGCTCTCCACCGCTCCCGGCGTGGTGAAGCAGTCATCGATTGGCACGTTTGTTCACCACTTGTCAGCGTGCTTAACTTTGCTTGGTCGGGTGGAGGAAGGGTTTACGACACACAATTTGACTCACGTACGATTCTTCTTCTTGGTTCTTTCGGTAAAGTCGCGTAGAAGGGAAATAATAAAATAATAAAAATATAACATAATAAAATAATTCTCACGACGTTTCGGCCACAACGCAAGCAGCCGTCCTCGGGTGAAGAACAGGTCTGTCGGAAAGACAGCGTCTGAATGAGAAAGCTTTAAATCAAAATTTCACGTACGATTATCTGACCCAAACATAAATGATGAGTAATGACATTGGTCGTGAAAGTCTCCACGAGCACGGACAGCAACACTCAGCCCTCATTCATTCCAGCCCCTCGCCCACTCAGCTCACCGGCTGGAGGTCAGATGCCTCCTTGTCACCCATCTATCGCTACTACCATGCTTCTTATTCTCACGAGCTGAAGTCCTTGGACTTCTGACGCGTTGTCGGGTTGTGGACCGCGAGTCGGTAGGCATGGTGTCCGACGTTTCACTCCGCGTGCTGGGAACTCAATAGCAGGGAGCTATGCAGCATGATTGAAAGAAAATCCCTTCCCAGTAGAATAACATCACCCTTTGATTCCACCACCCGTGTTGAGGACTCGATCTTCCAGACACTGACTTTCATCTCATCCACCGCACCGTGCAATCACCACCTCACTGCAGATCACAATTCACTATTTCACCCACTCACTCATTCACTCACCCATTAACCAACTTACTCACTCACCCACTTACTCACCCACCCACTCACTAACTCACTCACCCACTCACTCACTCACCCACTCACTCACTCACCCACTCACTCACCTACTCAATCACGCATCCACTCACTCACTCATTCACCCACCCATTCACTCACTCACCCACTCACTTACCCACTCACTCCCTCACCCACTCACTCATTCACTCACCCATTCATTCACTCGCCCACTCACTCATTCACCCACCCATTCACTCACTCACCCACTCACTTACCCACTCACTCCCTCACTCACTCATTCACTCACCCATTCATTCACTCGCCCACTCACTCATTCACGCACCCATTCATTCACTCGCCCACTCACTCATTCACGCACCCATTCATTCACTCACCCACTCACTCACTTAACTACTCACTCACTCACCCACCCACACACTCACTCACCCACTCACTCACTCACACACTCACTCACCCACACACTCCGATATGTCAGCCTCAAAGGGTCTCCATCACGATGATCACGCTCACGGCGAACACCAGTGGCGAGTGATATCTGGAACTGCTCCAGCGCCCTTTTCTTTCTCCCAAATCCATGAACCACTTCGTGGCCAAACATCCTCAGTGACTCTGCACGGAGTGGGGAGGTCACTATCCAGCAGTGGATCCACTAAAGGGCTGTGCGGGGTTCTCCGCGCTGTGTACTCTGTGCTGTGTACTCTGCGCTGTGTACTCTGCGCTGTGTACTTTGCGCTGTGTACTCCGCGCTGTGTACTCTGTGCTGTGTACTCCGCGCTGTGTACTCCGCGCTGTGTACTCTGTGCTGTGTACTCCGCGCTGTCTGTGCTGTGTACTCCGCGCTGTGTACTCCGCGCTGTGTACTCTGCGCTGTGTACTCCGTGCTGTGTACTCTGCGCTGTGTACTCTGTGCTGTGTACTCCGCGCTGTGTACTCTGTGCTGTGTACTCTGCGCTGTGTACTCCGCGCTGTGTACTCCGTGCTGTGTACTCTGTGTTGTGTACTCCGCGCTGTGTACTCTGTGCTGTGTACTCTGTGCTGTGTACTCTGCGCTGTGTACTCTGCGCTGTGTACTCTGTGCTGTGTACTCTGTGCTGTGTACTCCGCGCTGTGTACTCTGCGCTGTGTAATCCGTGCTGTGTACTCTGTGCTGTGTACTCTGCGCTGTGTACTCCGTGCTGTGTACTCTGTGCTGTGTACTCCGCGCTGTGTACTCTGTGCTGTGTACTCTGCGCTGTGTAATCCGCGCTGTGTATTCAGTGCTGTGTACTCCGCGCTGTGTACTCTGCGCTGTGTACTCTGCGCTGTGTACTCTGCGCTGTGTACTCCGCGCTGTGTACTCCGCGCTGTGTACTCTGTACTCCACGCTGTGTACACTGTGCTGTGTACTCCGCGCTGTGTCCGCCGTGCGCCTATTGCCTGGTGGATGAGCCTTTGCTGCGACCCAAGAAGAAGTCGCAGCGAGTGCCGTGCAAGCGCGCCGCATGTCGGCAGCCACGCGGGGCTTGAGTCTGGTTCAGAACGAGTCGAGGTAAAGGCGCACGGCCTTGACACAAACAGCCAGCAGCAACTCCTGAAGAACTGCACCGCGGTCCTCCTGCTGTCTTAGGTCACCGTGAAAATACATTTGAGGGAACGTGAACGGCAGACAGCAGTGATGCAGGAACAGACCACTGCGGAGCGGTTTCGTCCTGATTAAGACTCGTCAGTAGTCACCGATGCTCACTGCTGCAAACACCGCCGCTGGGAGCCGTCTCTGGTGGGAGTCCCCAGCTCAGTTCAACCCGTGGGGGGTGACGGGAGGATGAAAGCAACAACAAGAGGAGGAACCAAACGCAGCTCTTCGGGAACGCGTGATGATGGTCTTTTGCATAACGAGCAACGGCCGAGTGCTGCGTGTGCCCCCGTGCCTGCGTGGCGGAGGTGGTGGCGGTGGGTTTGTTGTTGTCGCCTCGCGGGTTTCCGCCTCGCGCGGTGTTGCTGCCCCGGGGGGTTTCCCGTCGTTTCGCGAACAAATCAGGTCACTGACGTCACCAAGCCGGTGCTGCGCCACAAGCCGCTTCGTGCGCGGAGGCGACTGTGTCCGTCGACCCGCACCGAGGGCCGCACAGGCAACAACCCACTCTGGGCAGCGCTCCTTCAGCGTGTGTGGCGGGGGAGCGGGGGCGCAGTGGTTAGCGCACTGTGCAGCGAAACCCGGTGACCCGAGTTCGATTTGGGCTCACTACCAATGACAGTGGAGCATATCTTAAACCTTGTTCTGGGCCTCCCCGTGGTCGTCTCGGCATCAAATTAGTACTTTGTGCGATGTGAAAACATGAGCATTGGGGAGACAAAGGTGGTTTGGCGTGGTGCTGACCACCCACCCCCTCATGTGCTGCGCCAGCCTTCACAAATTGCTTCTCGCGAACAGCAATTAGCCCCTCAGCAGTCTGCTAAAGGCTACAGGGAGGACCTTTGTGTTTGTGTGTGCAGGGGGAGTGGATAACATCATGATAAAACAAACACTGTTGTGTCTGAACCTGTTCTGGGCCTCCCTTGGGTCGACTCAGCGTTAAACGATGGCACGGTTTTGTGGGTGAACAGCAGCATTGGAGAGACAAAGACGGTTCTGGGCACGACGGTGCTGACCTTAATAGTGGGTTGTGAACTGGACTTGCAGTCCCACCACTGGGTGTGGATCTACTCGGGATCATTACACAACAGCTGCGTCCATACCTACGCTGCTCACAAGGCAGATAGATACTTGCCGTCTGGCAGCGCCATAGTGATGCTCGTGCCTCGCAGCAAAAAGCGCCTGGGTTCGATTTCCAACTAGGGCTCCTCTCTGCGTGGTGTGTGCGTGTTCTCCCCCCTACTCGGCATGGATAGCTAAACCCACACATACTTCTAGTGCCCCTGGCATTGGCCAAACAAACATCCCAATACTGAAAAATTACCTGCAAATTACTCAGTTGGGATCACACACAACACCAGCAGCAGCAACGTCGCCCCATGTACTGCGAAAACTTGGCAGGACCCTCCTGAAAAAGAGCCTTGAGACTCGGTGGGATTTCCCTGCGTTACCGAGTTGCATAACGATAGCAAGAGTAATGCGAGCATGACATGACCTGGTCAAGCCCACGTTTGTGAGGTCATTGTAATTCATCGAACTTCAATAACTCTCAAACATCTAAGCACTCACACCCTAAACATATAGAGGGTTGTAGAGTTTGGGCAATCGTTGGTAGCACCGGCTCCTCACTGAGAGGCTGATATCTTCCGGCTCGTCCGTGGTTCCTCCTCGTGGTGCCTCTGAGTCGCCAACACCAATGCCGCCGCACGGCTCTCACGAAGTGCACGCGATGGCCGCCGGGTCACGTTTGTCGTCCCCCAGGTGGTACTTTGGGCTGATGCAGCGGCAGGAGTGCGAGAGGCTTCTGAAGAAGGAGCCCAGGCAAGAGGGAAGGTTCCTGGTGCGCGCCAGCCCCTCGCGCCCCGACTCCTACTCGCTCTCCGGTAACGTCTTCTCCCTGCCGCGTTTGGACAGAGGGCGGCAGCCGGCTACGGTCGTGGGTCTAAAGGGGCAGCCGGTCGGAGAGCAGCGGCTGGCTACAGTCGTGCGTCTAACGGGGCAGCCGGTCGGAGAGCAGCGGCTGGCTACGGTCGTGGGTCTAATGGAGCAGCCGGTCCGAGAGCAGCGGCTGGCTATAGTCATTCGTCGAACGGGGCAGCGTCCCGGGAGCTCGATGCTTTTGTGGGCAACTGCCGTGCACTTTTCCGGATGGTTCAGATCAAAGTGGTTCGCAGAGGGCGGCAGAGCAGCGAAGGCCACGGCGTTGTCCGGTACTCAGTAGTTTCGTTTTTAGTTTACTTGTGCACTCCAGCGTCTGTTGCTGTACGCCTTCACCAACGCACAGCGACCGCCTTGGTGAAGTACGGTCAAGGAACCCCCACGATGTGCCATCACGTGAAACACCTCCAGCACTTCCTGACCAAGTGCATTGTGGTCCTCTTGGCTTGGGTCACTATCAGAGTACACTCACTCTGTAGAACAGGGGGAGATAATACAAACTCCACTCACTCACTCTGTAGAACAGGGACAGATCATACAAACTATACTCATTTGCTCTGTAAAACAGGGGGAGATCACACAAACTCTACTCACTCGCTCTGTAGAACAGGGGGAGATCACACAAACTCCACTCACTCACTCTGTAGGACAGGGGGAGATCACACAAACTCCACTCACTCTGTAGTACAGGGGGAGATCATACAAACTCCACTCACTCTGTAGGACAGGAAGAGATCTTACAAACTCCACTCACTTACTCTGTAGAACAGGGGGAGATCATACAAACTCCACTCACTCACTCGGTAGAACAGGGGGAGATCATACAAACTCCACTCACTCTGTAGAACAGGGGGAGATCATACAAACTACACTCACTCACTTTGTAGAACAGGGGGAGAGAATAAAAACTACACTTATTCACACACTCTGTAGGCCAGGTCGAGAGAACATAATAAAGGTTTGTGGGTTCGGGATCGCGTTGTTTATAAATGTGTCGCAACCCTCCACCCGCAGACACGGCCAATCAGTAAAACATGTGTCATTTAACACGTAGGCTTTCGCGACCAATATTCATAATATAGGTTTTTGGGTCAGATCGCGTTATTTATAAATGTGTCGTAACCCTCCACCACCCGACACGGCCAAACAGTAAAAAATGTGTCACGTTTTCAAAGGACAAAATAATTCACTTCTTTAGCCCACCGGTGTGCTGAAGAGAGGATCAATAGCATTTTAAATTTGAGTACGACGTTTCGCTGATAATTACAATCAGCGTCATCGGTCAAGAATGGTGAAGCTCTCCTGTTGCTTCCGTTCTTAAATAGAGCAGCCTCAGGGTGACGTCATCATTTAATTCAATTCAATCTGGTGCAGTGATTCGAGGCAAGGAGGGGGGGGTATTGTAATTATATAGATTGGTAATCATTCAATTGTTATTCATTGGTATTTGTTTCCCTTATAAGGAATTGTAATTGTATCAAATAAATACAATTACAATTGTTTGTTATGAAGTCTAGAGAATGTATTAATTTGGTTATTTTTTGTTAGATTAAATACATTATCAGCCGATTGTTGTGTTATAGTATCGATTATATTTTAATAATGCATGGATACACTTGCTGAAATTTAAGTGCAAGTGCCTTAGAGATTCCGAAATGTAAGACAATTCACTCCTGTTGTGCTGTATTCTCTCTAGTAATAATAATTAGCTGGCTTTGTGTAGTATTTGGTTAACTTTAACAGACTTTACGTGACGTGTTATTGTAACTGCGTTTGGTATTTTACCTTCGAACATATCAACTCCACGCAAAAAGGTGTCCGGGTCAAAGTCAGACCCAGGCCCTTTCTTCTGACTGTGAGGTCCGTATCCAGCAGTGCCACGGTGGTGAGATGTTAACTACCTCGCCTGGTATGCAGGAGGGCTTAGGTTCAATCCCGACTGACTTCTGTATATTTGGAGTTTGCTTGTCTCTCTCCCCGTGGTAGCGTGGATGTTTCTCTGGGTTCTCTCTGCACATGTCGAGTCAACCTCATGCGTCTAGAGCAGTGGTTCTTCCTCAGCTGGAGTACACCCTGCACCCCCTGGGGGTGCAAGACATGGGCAGATTTGTTCACAAGGTAAATCATTGAAACACAAATTAAGCACGGGCACATGAGTACAACTACCTTGTTTCATCAAACCCCAATGTATTTATTAACATTGTAAACATTTTTTTTTACGATTGAGAACTAAAGGGGTGCAAGGCCGCAGTCAAGGTTAAGAACCACTGGTCGAGCGTCTTTGGCTCCTGTAAATTAATAAACCACTTCGTTGAGGTATCATTTGTGGCCAGGTCGCTTCTGAAAAAGAGCAACATAGCTCAGTGGGCCTTACCTGGTCAAATAACAACATTGTTTAGTTGAGTCGTTTTGCTGTCAGTGTTTTGTGGTTCTGCTATGCCCGTGATGACAATCCGTGCGCATGTGAACGCCTGTCTCGAGTGTTATTGTGTTGTGGCGCCGGCTGGTGGGTGGGCAGTGTACGCGCAGAGCGAGGTGGTGCACTACCTCATGACGAGGGGACCGGACAGGCGCGTGAGCATCCAGGATGGCCTGGCCTTCGCCTCCGTGCTGCAGCTGGTGGGGCACTACCTGGAGGCGCCCGACGGGATGGTCTGTCCCCTCGGCCCGCCCTGCGAGAAGGTGCCAGCGCACAGCACCCGTCGCGCCAACGGCAGTGCAGATTCGTGTCCGAGCCACCCCTCCATCGCGGCAGGGCAACCCGCAGTGCTAGCGGCAGTCGCCCAAGCTCTGCGGTCCTCTACCTAGTAAGACTTTTCAGCTGATTAAATTCGTGTTCATACACGTGACAGAAAACTGAAGGAGCCCGGAGAAAACCCACGCTTGGGATGGAGCGCCACTCTACTCCCTACAGATGGGACAGATTGAGTTCAGTCCGCACTTTGCTGTACCGCCTTCTCCTGGCGAGCCAATGCTACGGCTCCTCCTCGACGCCAACCCCCTGCGGGAAGGAGGCAGATTTGCAACTTTAGTGTGTGCGATCTGCTAACCCCACCGCCTGCAACTCCCAACTCCCCTTCCCGCGTTGGCCAGGAGTACGTGCCAACCATCAGCAGCCTGAGCCCGGAGCTGTTCAACGAGTGGGAAGTGCCACGCGAGTCCATCGAGCTGGGCGAGAAGCTGGGAGCGGGCCGGTTCAGCACCGTGTTCGAGGGCCGGTGGAACGGTCGCATCAGAGTGGCCGTCAAGATCTTCAATGTGGGTGGGTGCGGTCTCGCTCACACACGCGGGCGGCCTGCACCCAGCGCCGTGGGTCGTGGGATGGGAATCGGCTTGTGGGTAGTGGGGTGGGACTGGGTGTGTGGGTAGTGGGACTGGGTGTGGGGGTAGTGGGGTGGGACTGGGTGTGGGGGCAGCAGGAGCGGCCAGGCAGTGAGGAGCTGATACCAGCAATTGTCCAAGTTCTGCAGTCCTCTCTATATCCCGGTGTTCTCTCTGTGCTGTACTCGCCGCTCGTTCTCTCGTGTTAGATTTGGGGCAGATGGAGGGATCCTGCAGCGACGAAGGCAACGGCCAGCGCGCATCGTCGCAATGTGAGTTGCACATTTCCCTTGCAATGGACCTAAACTTTTTTTGTCATTATTTGAGCACGACAGTTGAATATTTTTTCACGCCATTTAACATTTTCACCTTTAAAAAGAGTTTCATGCATGATACAAAATTTCAATCCCTTAGGTTTTTTTATTTCAATAATTTTAATAAAAACAAAAAATCTTTATTCACGTTTCCGAGCCAAGGAGCATTCCAGCAATGAAATCCGCACCCGGCGGTGGTGATTCACAAACAGTGGCACCATTGAGGCTAAACGAGCACCGGCACTCACGCCAACTGTGAACTTTGCCCTTTCAGCCACGACCCCGAAGGATTTCCTGAGCGAGGTGAAGAAGATGACTCTTTTCAAGGACGAGAACGTCCTCAAGATCTTCGCCATCTGCCAGGACCGCTCCGCCTGCTGGATCGTCACAGAGCTCATTCCGAACGGCAGCCTCCAGCTGTACCTGGGTGACGGTCCCTCCCTCCCCCTCCCTCCCCTCCCTCTCCCTCCCCCTCCCTCTTTCTCTCCAGCTGTACCTGGGTGAAGCTCCCCCCCCCTCCCTCCCCCTCCCTCTCCCTCCCCCTCCCTCTCTCTCTCTCTCCAGCTTTACCTGGGTGAAGCTCCCCCCCCCTCCCTCCCCCTCCCTCTCCCTCCCCCTCCCTCTCTCTCTCTCTCCAGCTTTACCTGGGTGAAGCTCCCCCCCCCTCCATCCCTCTTTTTTTGTGGGTTTAATTTATTTTATTTCTCTGCGACTTTACCGAAATAACCCAAATAACGAGATGTTATTGTTTTTTAATACGGTGTTCGCTTTCAACGGGTTGCGATATTTCAACATTGCTGTAACAATAATGTATTTATATAAATATATAAAGACATGAATCCCCCCCCACCCGTCACCCATCTGGAATTTCTACAACTCACATTCCGCCCTCGTCCACACAAAGACAAAGATCCCCCGTGTAGCCTCTTACAGACAGCAGGGGCAAGTGCTGTTAGCGAGTAGCAGCAGCACCTATGAAGGCTCCTCCCCACTCACTCTCTCTCCCCCCACTCGCTCACTCTCCCCACTCTCTCTCTCTCCCCCCACTCGCTCCCCTCCTTCCCCCTCCCTCCCTCCCCCTCTCTCTCCCTCCCCCTCCCTCTCTCCCTCTCTCTCCCTCCCCACTCACTCTCTCTCCCCCCACTCGCTCTCTCTCCCCCCACTCTCTCACTCTCCCCACTCTCTCTCTCTCCCCCCACTCGCTCACTCTCCCCCCACTCGCTCACTCTCCCCACTCTCTCTCTCTCCCCCCACTCGCTCCCCTCCCTCCCCCTCCCTCCCTCCCCCTCCCTCTCTCTCTCTCCAGCTTTACCTGGGTGAAGCTCCCTCCCTCCCTCTCTCTCCCTTTTACGATCAGAGGAAACAAGAAGATGCCCGGTGTAGTCGGCACTTTGCTTCGTTCATCATTTAGTTTTTTATAGTTTTTTCAATGCTTTGCTTTATGTGCCCCCCCCTTTTTAAATGAAAGATTTCACAAAAGATTTCACGCTCTGCTCTCCTCCTTCTCTCTCCATTCCATATCTCACGTCTTTCATTCACCCCCTCGCTACCCTCTCATAACCCTCCCCTCCTTCTCTCCCCTCGCTCTCTCTTTACTCTCTTGTCCTCCTCCTGTCCCCGTACTTTCCACACTCTCCCTTCAAACTCACCCCCCCCCCCCCACTCTCCCTTCCCTCTCTGCCTTTGCTCTCCTAACTCTCCCACCCTCTCCCCTCACTCTCCCCACTCTCTCCCTTCCCTCTCTCTTTGATCTCCCCTCGCTCTCTCCCTCCCTCTCTCCCTCCCTCGCTCTTTCCCTCCCTCTCTCTCCAGCAATATCTGGCTGAAGCTCCTGGTTGAAGCTGTAACATTGTCGGCGGCAGCGGCAACCAACGCGCCTCGTAGCAAGAAGGTGCCTGGGTTCGATTCCGGACTCGAGCTGCCTTGCCGTGTGTGGAGTGTGCATGCTCCCACTCTGTTCTGCAGAGTGTGAGCGACAGTGTGAGCGTGTGCCATTTGTATGATCTCCCCCTGTGCTCCACGGGTTTCCAATGGGCTCTGCAATTTCTACTCGTAGCTGAGAGGTATAACAATGTTACCGTTAATAGCCACAAAACATTAAAATGCTGCAAAATCACCTGCAAATTACTTCGTAGGGATCGCACACAGCAGCAGCAGGAGCAGCATCGCTGCCCTGATGGATACCTGTACCTGTCTGCGAAGCACAGCGCCTTACGTTGAACGGCCGCCCCTACTGGGCATCTGTGAAAAGAGCTTCATAGCTCATCGGATTTTTCCAGGATGAATAAAGTCTGATTTAAATGTCCCTGTGCTATGAAAATGGCATGAATACTAAACGTGTGTAAACATTATATCAGATAACCCACACTCTCTCCGCCACCACTACCACTACCACCATCACTGCTACCGCCATCACCGCCACCACCGCCTCCATCTCCACCGCCACCACCGTCATCACCACCGTCACCGCCACCGCCAACACAGGCCGATGCAGGCAGGAGCTGGGCCTGGCGGACATGCTGTTCATGGCGCACGGCGTCGCCTCGGGCATGGAGTACCTGGAGAGCAACAATTACATCCACTGCGACTTGGCGGCCCGCAATGTGCTCGTGGGGGACGCCGGAATCTGCAAGGTGGCCGACTTTGGGCTCGCCCACTTCCTGAAGGTGGGAGCGCTGGAGACGGGGGGTGGGGGGGGGGTGTCTCTATGGTCATCAAGCGACGACGTGACCACGGCCGCACGGTACCCGCTCATCCCTCGCATAGAGAGAGACGGAGGGCAACTCGGAGGAGGAGCCACAGATGAGCAGCGGCAGCACCAACGATTGCCCAGGCTGTGCAGTCCTCTCTATATGGAGGTGTTAACGGTCATGAACACTTGTGTGTGGTGTCTGCACATCGACAGGTGAACCACGCGTGAGCAGCACACACAGGGGCCTTGTAGCCCACCTCGCTCTCTTTTCCCACCCTACATTCCCGGCTCAATTTCGGCCACATGGTTGTGCCACGTGGTGAGTTGGCAGCCATCTCTGTCAGGCTCCAGCTACCATTACACAGCCACGCCGCGCGTGCCAGTGCGACCTGGGATCTCCAGCTGTGGACGAGGGTTGCGTTACCAGTCACCAAATGGGGGAAAAAACCCGGTGGTTTGCCGCACGTATATCGCAATTTCTGTGATTCGCAATGGATGTTTTGGGCGTTGTACGCCCTCCTCCACCTAACAGTCACATTCATAAAATTGTCACGTGATGCGCAAACGTGTGAATGTATTGCTGCTGCTGCTGCTGCTGTACTCGCTGCCGGGCGCTGCGCCCGCGACGGTGGGGCTCACGAGGGATGGAAACGCTCGCGGTCTGCACAGGGTGACTACTACCAGATCGCGGACGGCATGCACGTGCCCATCCCATGGACCGCCCCGGAAACCATAGAGCATGGCGTGTACACGCGCGAGTGCGACGTGTGGTCATTCGGCGTGGTCCTCTACGAGATATTCACCTTCGGGGCGATGCCATACTCAGGTGAGAGCGTGAGTGCTGTCATTATTGATTTTGTAAAGCGCTCTGAGATATTTTGATAAGACACACGCTTTTAAGAAATAAAGACGATGATGATGACGAGTGGGATGGTGCGTCTGTCCGCACGTCGTCACCACGGGACGTTCTCCGACGTTCTGCTCGATGCAGGGCCCAAAGCCGGACCCTATTGGGCAAAGTCCCAACACCCGCGTGTCCCCTACACCACTGCGGCACGGTGGTCACCTGGTCCCCTCCCTCTCCCTCATCAGGAGGGGGGGGGGGGACTTGGCCGCCCCACCCACGCAGGCTGGGAGCTAAATGATGAACCTATCACCCCCCGCCCACCTCACACGCTAAGGTGTCATCACCTTAATGTCTATAGCACCGCAGAGCTTGGGCAATTGTCGTGGCGCTGGCTCCCCACCAAGTGGCTGCTACCTCCCTGTTCCTCGTCTGCAGTTGCTCCTCCTGGCTCCTCTGAGTCCCCCCCCCCTCTCTCTACGAGAGCAATGGGCGGGTACCGTGTAGTGGATTTCTACCGGTAGCCATTCATTCTACACAGCGATTTGTTAATGAAATCTCTGCTGACTCTTCCAGGAGAGAGCCCCCCCCTAACCCCTGAAGTTCTGCACATCGGGCCGTAGGATGGAGGGGACGGGCGGGAGGGCGCCACACGGCACGTGCCCCCCCCCCGCCCACCACGTTGTTAACTGCCACCCGTGCGTGCGTCTCTAGGGATGACGATGCAGAACGTCCAGTACTTCGTCTGTACAGGGGGCCGGCTGGAGAAGCCGGAAGGCTGCCCAGACGCCGTGTACCGGATCATTCTCAAGTGCTGGCACGCGGAGCACAGGAAGAGGCCGTCCTTTGCAGACCTCAAGCCAGAGCTGCACAGAGTCTCACTGGCTTACCAGCGTGAAAAGGGCGGCTTTTAAACGTCGCAGAAACTGGGGGACTTTAAAGAAAGCCCTTCGAGTCCGACCAGGAACTTGCACGTGGACTATGCACTCACGAGTGGCCAGGTGGGTCGTCATGGCCGTGCGGGAGGCATTGAGCCGATGCTGCTGGGAATCGGGTTTTGGGATCACGGTGTTTGTTCTCGGCCACCCGTGCGATCGAATCGGCTTCAGTCCACATGTGGCTCGGAGGTCAGAGCGCCGGGCCGGGACGGCTCAGCTCCCGGGTTCTGATCCTGGCAGCCAGCCACTTGCATGCAGCTAAACTGGGTTCCCAAGTACAGTGAGTTGATGGTCTCAGCTCTTTGACCAAAAACTTACGTAGAGACCCGTAGACTCACACTGAGTTGCGATTAAACTAGGTCCTCAAGTATAGTGAGTTGGTCTCAGCTCCATCACTAATGATTGCACAACAACACCATCAAACATGATTAAGTTTGGTTTTTCACTCACATTTTGTCAAAAATTAGTTCTGAGATTTAAAAACATCAGTTCGGCTGTCGAGCAATGCTCGCATGTGGCAGGGAGGGTGGGAAATAATATTGTCGAATATTAAAACAATATAATAACGTTGGCTTATGTGCTATGAAGAAGGGTGATTGCCCGAAAGATCAACGATTATACATTCTTATTATGTATAACAAGCTGTAAAATGGGCTAAATGGGGATGTTCATGGCAATATTGGGGCTCTTGGTAAGGAAGTGGATCAAGCAGCAGGCACAGCCACAACCCCGGCACTCACGGCGGCATTTGGAGGACGCCACTGCCGCCCCCTGCACTACAGGGGACACGTTCTTGTCGCGAGAGACTCTCCGGCTGCGGTGGCCGATCGCGATCCACGCGTGGACGACCACAAAATATCCCGTTGGGATCTGGGGAGAATGAGCGGGGACCGTGTGGGCGGCGCAGCGTCATGAGCGGTCATTGTTCTTGTTCTTATTGTTGTGAGATATCGGGGACCGCACGGAATGACCCCTTTCAGCAGATGCGCTCCTCTCCTGCCCATCGACAGGCATGGCCACCAACTGCTGTGGGCCTGGCTGTGTATGCGAGTAACTCGATTTCACCTGCGAGTGGACATGCAGGCACGCAGCAATTCCACACATGCTCCGGCCACGAGCAGACGTCCCACGGATTGCCAACCATTCGCAGTTGCGACTCTCTCTTATCGGTTTCTCTACGGACTCGTTTGTATTGTTTCATGTATTACCATTTCAATAGTACTGTTTTGCTTGTACTGTTCCATGTATATTTATTCGATTCGCTCCCATGCGGTTGGTTAAACTAGCACAAATGTGGGTCTGTAAATGCGGTGATTTTTTCCTATAATTGTTTACTCCCGTTTGTATTATTTCTCGATTTGGCTCATTTGTATAGTCATTAATACCCAATAAGCCTACATTTAAATTAATTGTAAATAGTGTATTCTATTAGCTTCGATTGTTTTACATGTATCATGAATCGGTGTCTTATGTCATGCGTACTCATGGCACGGTAGGATATTAAACAACCTGTGAACGGAGTGAAGCTCCATGGCAGACTTCAAGTGGCAGACTGCAAGCCACAGCCGGGAGGCCACGGTGGTGGTGGTGGTGGCTACGCTGCTGCACGAGGCAGCTGTGCCCAGCGTTGTGGAGGAGGCAGCAGCAGCAGCAGCAGCAGCGAGGGTTGGTGGATCACCACACAGATCCTGTGAAACTCCTGTCCTGTGGGCGTCGAGGTGCCATACCCCCCAGGCACAGCAACAATGGGGACTCCAGCTGATCCGTCTGCGTGGAACGGAGCGTTTCCCCCTCGTGCGCTTGCTTTCCTGCCATGGTTTGCACACTGGACGATGCGGTTCAGGATGTGTGGTCCATGAGCTTATCGGCGGGAGATCTCAGCCAGGAGTCTCCTCTCACGAGGTGTTCGTGACTTCTTGTGGAAGTCCATTGCTGCCATCCGAGCACCATCAGGGTTGAACTCACTTTGTCGAAGGTTGAGCGACCTCAAACGGTGGTGCGGAAGGTTCTTGATGGCCTGGTGTATGGGTAAACGGACGTGTTCCACCACATCGCAGTGTAGGACCAATGTGTAATAACCACGGACACACAACTTCCCACTTCCTGATAATCTTGGTTAGTATTACACCACTCGCAAAACAATAAAACAACCGGCTGACTATTTAAGTGAGAATCGGTGCGTGTGTGTGAATGCTTAACACAAGAAGTCAATTAAAACACAATGACTCATTGCGGAAACTATCCTTTTTTAATCTATAATAAAACTTAAAACGTAGGCTTTCGCGACCAATATCCATAATATAAGTTATTTTGGATTGGAACACATAAATATAAATGTGTCCTTAAACCTGCCACCACCCGACAGCCAATGTAGTATTGTCTGTCACTAACAGAACGTGCCAATTCGTGACTAGTGTCAGGACGACTCTGACGCACTTGTCCTGGGAAGGATTCTTCATTCATGAGCCACGGGCTGCTCACACTCGGAGAGGCGGAGACTCCACAGCAACAGGCCCGAGTCTCCCGTGTATCTCCCTCAAATACGGTCCGAAGCCACGCCCCCATTTCCGAACCTTCTCGCCTGTTCTCGACCGCTCGCTCTACCAGCTGACTCCACTACCTCTTCTGTCACCTGGCATTACCTCCCGTGGCCACTAGTCCACTCACACCATAGTTTGACTCTACTGTCATTACCCCCCACCCGCTCTTAAAAATGTAGCCATCCCAGCTAATACTAAGAAATGTTTTAAATATCAACAATTGGGGCAGAATGACAAAACACATCCGCATCGAAGAGAACCTGCCGCGCGACTTTCGCAATGAAGAACAACAACATGACGAGTGAGTGGTGTCAGCCATCTCGCAACGAATGAACAAACACAGAAAGGAACACAACAATGGTTGGACGTGAGAAAAGATAGTCCATGAGAATATGTTTCCCCTGTTTTCTGGCAACAAAACAGGTGTGTTAAGATGTTAAAACACCAAACTGAAAACCTTTTACAAGGAAACATGTCTGCATTTACCACAATGCAAAAAACACTCTGACGATTATTATTAAGATATTCCATCTTCGTGGTTTGGAGAGCCATCAACGTAGCCGTAAACTTTTCGACCGGGTCCTTGATGCCGGTCCATCGCATGTAGCGGAGTCTGGTGGCCCCTGCGACTCGGAGGGTGGCATTCTGTGGGCGGCACAATGCGTTTTTCGGGTCGCACAGTTACTTTGGACGGCTGCCCTGGCACGTCGGACACTCCAGACCCCGTCCGTACAGGACATGCCGATGAGATGATTGGGCCGGAATGGACGATGGTTTGAGGCATGATGGGTGAACAAACCAACGGCGACGCCCCACCTGTACTCGCACGCACTGTGGCTGATTCACCTCGACAATTCAGAGCAGCCCTCGCCATGGGCGGTGCAACTTTGGCGCTATTCGCAGCGGCACCTGCGAGCAATGCAGTGTCACCCTCTCCCCGACTGCCCAAGGAAGCACGTGCTTGCGACGCCCGACATTCTCCTCGTGAGCGAATTGTGTTTTGGTGGCATTCTCCTTTGCCGCCGCACGTGCTTCCAACACCCACTGGAGCGTCACCTGTAGTGGCACGCCGACGTCCCGTCGTGTCTTGGAGGCTTTACCCAGTTGAGCCTCAATGGGGAGCTCCTGCTCCCGCCCGTACATCAGACAAACAGGGGAGAACCCCGTGGAGGCGTGTGGGGCCATCCGATAGGCCGCCAAGACCCCTGGATGCAGGTCCCAATTATGCACACCGCACCAAGTACTCATTTAAGGCTGAGTCGACCTAAGGGGAGGCCCTGAACCGGTTCAGATATTCTCCAATGGTGTTGCACGGTTGTGAGCGGGAATCGAACTTGTGTTGCCAAGGTTCATAGTGCGCTCACTATTGCACTACGAACCGCTACCGCCGTCCACAGAGCCGACTCAACAAGGATTGCCCCAAAACAATCACGTGTGCATCCAGCCTCTGCGTGAATACCACTGCTGGATGACGGCCTCATCCAAGCAAACATGTGGTGTGCTCAACTCTGTTGGTTCTACTTCGCCAGATGTATCCTTCCATATTCATATGACAGGGACAAGTCCACCCTTCATGAAACAATCCACACTTGGCCTTGACTAGGACGTGGGTGGACACGGCTTTGACTAGGACGTGGGTGGACACGGCCTTGACTAGGACGTGGGTGGACACTGCCTTGACTAGGACGTGGGTGGACACGGCTTTGACTAGGACGTGGGTGGACACGGCCTTGACTAGGACGTGGGTGGACACTGCCTTGACTAGGACGTGGGTGGACACGGCCTTGACTAGGACGTGGGTGGACACTGCCTTGACTAGGACGTGGGTGGACACTGCCTTGACTAGGATGTGGGTGGACACTGCCTTGACTAGGACGTGGGTGGACACTGCCTTGACTAGGACGTGGGTGGACACTGCCCTTGTTGACGGATGTGCGGGCCGTGCTACGGGATGTAGACTCCATTCGCAAATCTGTCCGCGAGAGAATTATGAGAGGAGGGAGATTTTGAATCGAGGCGAAGCATGAGGACGATGATGAAGAGAGAATGGCGAGGACGAGATGAGACCTCGAGCTGAGTGGCAGTGGTGGTCGCAGTGATCAATGATGGGAGCCCCAGGCTGAGCCACCCGTTAATTAAACTTCGTCAACAGAGGGGGCAGTTGGGGGTGTGGGTGTTCGTGAATCTCGGGGTCCAGTCGCCGCTTCATCATCCACGAGTCGGAGTCTCCATCCTCCTCCTCCTCCTCAACTCCATCACCTCCACGAGTCCTCGCGTCTCCTCCACCGTCGACGGACTTCCTCAGCACCGCTTCTTCGCGACGACCCCGCAAGAAGGGACCTCCTGCCTCGACCCCTCGTGGGAACTCCCTGCCGGGCCCCTGCGCCCCCGTGGGGTCCGGGATGAGGCCGCGGCTCCTCGCCACCCTCATCCTCATCCTCGCCACCCTCATCCTCATCCTCGCCGCGGTGCTCGCCCGGGCCGGTTCGTCCCGAGCGAGCGGCTCCTCTCCCCGCCTCTCCTGAATCCGTGCATCTCCGTGTCTGTGTGTGTGTGTTTGTCTAAACTCTGTGTGTGTGTGCGTCTCCGTGTACGGCTGACATCACGGTCGTTGTGGGGAGTGGTGGCACAGTCATCAGTACATGGCACAATGAACCAGTCACCGTCGTTCCATTGCAAACTGCGGCTGACCTCCGTGGCGAGTACCTCGTGCGGTGCCTTCAACTTCAGCAGCACTGCGGGAGATCAAGACCGCCGGGCGTGATTCTGGCCCCACCACCTCGTTGAGCGCTCTTGGAGCCTTAATAGGTGCTCGCCAACAGGCCTCGCCCCAACAGTCCGTGCAAGCAACATGGGGTCTCTGATGAGATTTCGATTTCACCTCAAACAGCCGCGAGCGACGGGGTCATCGTTAAACACAAATTACAATCGTCAGCATCATCAGCATCACCAGCATCATCAGCATCGAGCAGCATCACCAGTATCATCAGCATCATCAGCATCAGCAGCATCATCAGCATCACCAGCATCATCAGCATCACCAGCATCACCAGCATCATCAGCATCATCAGCATCACCAGCAGCATCACCAGCATCACCAGCATCATCAGCATCATCAGCATCACCAGCAGCATCACCAGCATCATCAGCATCACCAGCATCACCAGCATCACCAGCATCATCAGCATCACCAGCATCATCAGCATCACCAGCATCACCAGCATCATCAGCATCATCAGCATCACCAGCATCACCAGCATCATCAGCATCACCAGCATCAACAGCATCATCAGCATAGCAGCATGATCATCAGCATCAACAGCATCATCAGCATCACCAGCATCATCAGCATCACCAGCAGCATCATCAGCATCACCAGCATCATCAGCATCACCAGCATCATCAGCATCACCAGCATCATCAGCATCATCAGCATCACCAGCATCACCAGCAGCATCATCAGCATCACCAGCATCATCAGCATCACCAGCATCACCAGCATCATCAGCATCACCAGCATCATCAGCATCATCAGCAGCATCATCAGCATCACCAGCATCACCAGCAGCATCATCAGCATCACCAGCATCACCAGCATCACCAGCATCACCAGCAGCATCATCAGCATCACCAGCATCATCAGCATCATCAGCATCACCAGCATCATCAGCATCATCACCAGCATCACCAGCATCATCAGCATCACCAGCATCACCAGCATCATCAGCATCACCAGCATCATCAGCATCACCCAGCATCATCAGCATCACCAGCATCATCAGCATCACCAGCATCACCAGCATCATCAGCATCACCAACATCACCAGCAGCATCATCAGCATCACCAGCATCACCAGCATCACCAGCATCATCAGCATCATCAGCAGCATCACCAGCATCACCAGCATCACCAGCATCATCAGCATCACCAGCATCACCAGCATCACCAGCATCACCAGCATCATCAGCATCATCAGCATCGAGCAGCACAGCCATTAACATTAAGCTGGCAGCAGCATCATCAAGCTCATCATTTTTGTCATCGTTATCGTCATCAGCTGCAGCATCTTGTCGTCATCATCAGCAGCAGCAGCTGCAACGTCACCATAATAGGTGCTCGCAAAGAGGACGTCGCCTGACGGGACGATTACCAATGGACAAGCCTGGTGTTGGAGTGGCAGCCAAAGGTAGCGCAACACATCAATGAGGACGACCACCACGGAGATGGAGCGAAAAGTAATGTGCAGTGAATAGGAAAAGGTTGATTATGATGATGATCATCATCATCTGTGGGTATGTGTGTATATATGGCCTCTAAATGAATGTTGCGTCGATGTCTCTATGTATGTCTATGGGTCTCTGTATATGTCGAATGTATATGCATCTGTCCCTACGGATCACTATGTGTCTTTATGGGTCTGTATGTGTGTCCGTGTGTCTGTGTGTCTGTGTGTATGGGTCTGTATGTGTGTCCGTGTGTGTGTATGGGTCTCTGTATGTGTCCGTGTGTGTGTATGGGTCTCTGTGTGTGTCTGTGTGTGTGTATGTGCCTCTGTGTGTGTGTATGGGTCTGTGTGTGTGTCTCTTTGTGTGTGTGTGTGTGTGTCTCTCTGTGTGTGTCCGTGTGTCTGTG